CATCACACCATTCTCAGAACCAAATCACCCCTTTTTAGAGATCACTTTAGTTGCAGTACACTTGACAAACCTGAGTTTTCTGGAACGCTGCCATATTCTCTGGCATGCTCATGAACAACAATCCCGGACCCTGGACCCTGGACAGGACCCTAGCGAGAGACCAAAACAACACTTGACCTTCAGCGCCACGTGGACTGCGGTGGGAAACTCATACACGGCTTTTTCTCAGTTTCTGTGTACTTCACGCATCTTCAAGTACTTTTCTAAGCTAGTAACATCATACCTCCATTGTAACTCAACCAGATATAAAGATATTTCTATTCCAGATTTAGAAACTTCTCACCAAACCCACAATTCCTCGGTTGGTGAACGGCATCGCCATATTACCGAAACCAAAACGAGACTGGCCTACCAAAAAACCCAATTCATTCGCTTTTTGGATATGCAGGTTGGCACCTAATTCTACCACGCATTCGCACGGAATCGCTGATAAATATACGACAGAAACAAGACCTCATGGGCAAGAGAGCATCCTTAGCGTGGGGTCCGCTTATAAGTCCGATGCCTCATAGGTCAAATTTCGGACTTTAGTCGTCGGACTTGAGGCATAACATTTATATATTCCGCCACGTAGCATAAGTCCGACGCCTCATAGCTCCGACGCCTCATAAGTCCGAAACAGCGTTTGTCCATTGTCGGACTTATGAGGCGTCGGACCTATGAGGCGGAATTTATGCCTCGTAAGTCTGACGCCTTATAAGTCCGAAATTTCGGACTCATGAGGCGTCGGACCTATGATACGGCCCTTAGCGTGCGCGTTTCTATGAAGGTTTTCAGGCTATTACATAATAGGCCTAACCTATGTAAGTGACATAAGACGGAGGTTTCGTGTTTTCGAACCTCGAATATCTTGTTAAAGGGGGGGGGGGGGGTAACCACAATATTTTCTCATTATTGCCCTTGATTATAGTCCAGGGTCGGAATCAGATTTGACCGGACACTATTTCAGGCCAACGTAAACTAGCTTCTCGATCCGAGTAACAGTTTTGGCCCATTTGACTCGACACGGAAAATTGTCATTTTGACACATGACATTGTCATCTAAAAAAAGTCAATATTGACCCGGAACTTACAAGGGTGTTGTTCATGGAAAACAGCATAATATACAGAGACGCCCAAATGTCATGGACACTCAATAGGAGGGCATTCTTTGGTATGGTAAACCGAATGTCCTCCATAATCTGAACGTCAAACTTCTGCCAAATCCAATGTTCTGCACTTCGTTCCAAGAATACGTGTTCCAGCGAAGCCGGACTTTTAGGTACCCTGGGAATCGTTTGAAACCACCGGTGTATGTCCTCATTTCCCATTGTATGCAAATCGCCCAGAATTTCGGCTTAGGGTAACAATAGAACCCCCCCCCAAAAAAAAAATGCAGGTGAACTCTGAGAACTTGAGGGGTTATGTAATCGGCTTGTTCGACAGTGTAATATTTTCTCCATCTGTTTCAGTATACAAAGAGGACAAGATGTGTTGATTTCGCTCTCGTCCGATCTGGCAGATGGTATTGAAATTCAGTATACTAGCTCGTTAAGACATCAGTGCTTAATCGTATTCCAGCGAGGTTTTATTCCAATAGTCCTCTTTGCATCTGACGTCATACTGAAGACAGCTCTTAATTGTTGCTCTGTAAAAAGCATGAGTAGACAATAGACCGCTTGCAGACGCGTTCGATAATCGACGCGCGACGCCATGTTGTGGGTCAAGCGCATATCTATCCATGCACATTTTGTCCCACAACATGGCGTCGCGCACCTTCACGCGTCAATTATCGAACGCGTCTGCAAGCGGTCTATATTGTCCTTTCATTTAAACCGAATTTAAATGACAAGCACTGCCCTCAGTGAGGGCCTACCATGCAAGGCGTCTATCGGACAGAGGGCTTTGTAATTGTTATTTGCAATTCATTTTTCCCCAGGTCGTTCGAGCCTAAGATTAAACTGGGGGAAAAGGTGTTAAAGCTACTCAAGAGAAAAGTAGCATGCACGTAAGGCAACGCTTTGTTTTGTAACCTGGACACGGCCAAAAATATATCATGTGCAATGTCGACGTCTTTCAAGCTTTGTGCGTTTGAAACCAACTTCAGTTTGCTCACATAATTTAAATCTAGCCAAAATTAATGGGACAAAATTCAAGTCTGGGCCAGTTAGGAAATGTCAACGTCGTTAGTAAATCCCTGGTATGGGAGAAAATATTCTCCGCTCTTTGGCCGGGGACATAGAGAAAAGTTAATCTAATGAAATTTCCATGAAATGAAAACAAAAAGACACCTCGATGACTGGAGTGCTTTGGTTCAGGCATTTTTCGTGGAGACTAGAAATTTATGGTGCGAGCTATACCTCACAAAAAGTCCACAAAGAATTGATTGTTCTTCTTACAAGATGCAACTCATTTCGCAACCAGTGTGAGCCGGTAACAGTTCTTGATCAAAACACTTGAATAGTAAACTGTTTAAACTGAGTCACAAGTTCGTATCTTATCACAGACCCTCAAATTTCATACTCTTATCAGCTATGGATGAAGTGTTTCTAGTTCGGCAATTAGTTATTAATTTGCGAAGTCACGAACTCATCACGGTCAATTCATGTTTACCGCGGCCCTGAAAAGAAGGTCCGTTTGGGAACATTTTTTTTGCCACAGTAACGACTAACGAGGACACAAGATTAACACGTGCACGTTTTGATTACGATTGAGATACACGTACCAAAAAGTCACGTCTACAATTAGGCTAACTCACAGCTATTGTACCTCGTGTGTGGCGTGTCGGTTGCACTTGTATCCAAATATAGACAAACTTAATGGTTCAAATATTGCTTAGAAGTATGGTTCAAAGTTTTCCTTTGTTTCAAACCGAGTAGAAACGGTGTGGCTTGCACCTCAAGTTTTAACATCGGCGCTTTTTATGCAGTATTTGCCCTTAATGCTAAAAAAACCTACTCAAGGTACAGGGCTTATATACAAGAGATAAAGAAAGAAGAGTAGGCCCAAGTACTCAGGAAAACTGAAGGTAGGGATTAACAATCCTCTTGAAACAGGACAGATCATAGGTTGGAGGGAAACAAGCACCAGGCAAGGAATTACAAAGAAATGCAGCAGTGGGAAAAAGGTGGAATATGCATTTGTTCAACTAGGTATAGAAACAGTATATGGATGAGAAGCCGAGTTTATCTATAAAACACTGAATTGGATGAACCAAACTGGGAAGACGAGTGAAGATTGACTATGAAAATATCTGTAACACAAACGGAAGATGACAGACCTCAGCTGGGAAAGAGCTTTGTAGCACACATTACTTTAGTTGATAAATACCAAACAAAATTTCTTACGATAAGTGCTAAGCTTCGAGAAAATTATAATAATGATGGCAGTATTTTCTGTAAGCGTTTTTTAAGTTTGTAGCTGATAACATATTGCAAAATTAAGACTGAAACCCCGAGTGTAGAAAAACATGCGAAACTGTTTTGGAGGAATTTAGTAACTCGTTGTTAAAAAGAGTAAAATTTTACAAGTTTTCCAAAAGACAAATATGAGGTCCTCAGTAATACAAGACAAAAGTTGCGGTTTCAATTCCAGCTTGAAAGGAGTTTTTCATCAAAATTTTGCAGCAGGGAAGTATTAAATCGAGTGATTCAAATTTGAAACTAAAGACTAGACTTGTATACACGTCCACATTTGTCAAAAGACAGAGACTTCAGTCGTCTGGTAGCATCACTTGTGTAGAAACTGTCTAGTAACAGGAATGAAGTACCAGCATTTTAGTTTAATGACATACTCTGCTCTTGCAGTACTCGAGAAGTGTTGGACTGGTTCTTTCGTGTGCGAGTCTATTTTCTTGGTTTGCAAAACATTCAACTCTAGTTTTGAGAGTCCCAAATTGTTGGACTATCAAACATTCGACCATATCAGTTTCCAATTTGATGTTTTGATATCCGATCCTAAATTGGAGAGTTCTATCTCCCTTATCATCAGGTGAAGTTCTATTGTTAAAAACCCAGGGAATGTTCAACAGCACTCTTATCAATTTTACATTGTATTTTTTCCCTGCACTTTGTAACAAAAAAAAGGCAATTGTGTGATCACACAACTATTGCATCATGTTCGGCACCACAAAGTTGGAGTTATTTTTTACATGAGCTATATCGAAAGAGCAATGGGGAGGGTAATGATTGGGATGTGTCAAGGAGAGATAGGGTCAAAAATGAGGAACTTAAAGGTAATATTATACAAATACACATAGTTTGTCGGGAAATGGTGAAAACTAATGACCCCGAGGTGTTGGATGATTGGGACCATCTCCTGAGGCGAAGCCGAGGGGGATAGTCCCAAGCATCCAACACCGAGGGGTGATTTGTTTTCACTATTTCCCCGCAAAATACATGTTGTATTTGTTTTACTCTACCTCAAATATTCGTTAGGCAGCTGCGGTATTTCATTCGTCCATTCCATCATGTTTAATCGTGCAGTATTTGGATAAAGTGAAACATTATTTTAATTTAAGGAGACCGTAGAAAGTGAATTTTGTGTCATTTAATAACTTTAACATTCATGCAAAACACTGCATTTATTTTTATTGTGCAAAATTTCACCCACTTCCTCCTCGGTTAAAATCGCAAAGCGAACACCACCGGTCGCCATTTTGATGTATGCCGTAATAGACTGGCACATGCAACTGTCCTCACTGGTGTTCTCCATGGTACGCATGTAAAGCACATGCGTCCATGGTAAAGAGATAACACAGTACTGGAACAAATACTGCGACCCAGGTGTGTGATAGTACCTCCCTGGTTTTTGCGCGTCACGCGCGCGTACGAAGACGCGGGGTGATAGTGAAAACTTTCATACGGTTGGGTTGCTGGAATGGACCAATGAAATGCCCTCGTTGCCTGAGGAATATTTATGAGGAACAGTAAACAACATTTGCAAACATCACAAAACAAAACTACCAAAATAACGTGAAATACCTTTACTGTAAGTCAATGAGAGTCTCAATTAGCATCCTGTGCCATCATGGCACCTGGTGTGCTGTTATTTCCAAGAAAAGTGAAATTTTGACCAATCAAATATGACCCAAAATAGTACCAACAAATCCCCCCCCCCAAAAAAAAAGCACCCCTCCCCAAAAGAAGTATATTGGAGGGAAGCCACTGTCAAGTTACAAAAGACAAATATTTGTAAATTTCAAACCTTTTAATGAATACAATTATGTTCATAACTGTGTGAAAGTTACTACACGTAAAATATCACATTTTTTTTTCACAGGACCAACCACATATCAGAACAAGAGTTTTACAAAACTTCATTTAAACTGGATACTGTATAGAGAGAAAAAAAGGCCACAAAAATAGCCTAACTAAAGTTAGAACTAGAACTTTGTCCTAGGGTACGGTGGTCTTCTTAAAGCAGAAATGTGTACCAAATTTTTCAATAAATACACATTACTAGTATTATCCATCGTGTTGATGCACATTTTTTATATTTTGTTGTTCCAATTTGGTGCATTAATGGCTGGCGTTTACAAAAAAATAAATTACTGGGATGCAGTTCTACGTGGAATGTGGTAGAATAAATGCCGGCGTTTAAAATTGAAAATATAAGTTACAAAAGTATGTACATAAGCCACTATGAAAGTTGTTATTTACACAAATTTACAATGGGGAAAAAGAAGTACTTATGCTTGCTGGTGTTGACATTTTGACAAAGCGTAGCAAGACTGAAGCGGTGTCATTCCATTCCCTCCACAACTGTAAATTCAATTAAAACAAAGGGGAAGAACAAATGTGATACATGTACAATGTTGACATTACAGCAGAAGACTTTAAAAGTCAAAACCTTCAAACATGCAAATCACACAAAATACTGAAAAAAAAACATTCTTGATGTATTAAGACATTCAGTGTTTTTCTTATTTTTAATGGTGTGCATGAAAAAGAGAAGAAGAAATTGGCAGGTTTAATGATTAAATGTCTTTGTCTCAACTTACTTCCTGGGATGTTGACCTTATTGGAGCGGAGAACATCTGCCTGGACAGCATTCATGTTCATGTACAGCATCTCCGGGTTGGACTGCACCAACAAACAAACAAAACAAAATTGAAAACGTGACAACGAAGTTGGGTACAATAAGCCATTTGCGAGTGACCTGTACCCTTTGGGATTTAATCTGAAAAACAACTGGAACACTGACTTGCTCAGAATGCTTGGAACATTTTAATTTTGAATTCTCCAGACCAAAGACACCATTGCTTATCACATGATTCGGGGCAAGCTCTTGCATAGTTACGTAAGAGACGCTCAGCACCAATACATTAATCACAATGGGTGAGAATGACACAAAGACACCAGACCATGCCGGAGCTGGAGGTTGCTAGCATAAGGCTTGCCCTGAATCACGTAATATAGCAACAGTCTCTTTGATCGGGAGAATGCAAAGCTAAAACTTGCAAAGCATTGGATTAAGTCAGCGTTCCAGATTTTATTCAAATTTAACTCGCAAACGGCTTATTGAGCAAGGTTCATTGCGTTGCAAAGAAGCTAGCCAGTCAACAACATCACAAGGCAATCTATGACTTTGAAGTGCACTTGTCAGGACTTGCGATCAATCACAAGAACGTTGACTACAAAACTGAGGCGTATTCGAAACCCTGTTCTCGAGTGACCCACCAAGTGTTCTCGGTTGCCGATTACGAACGCCTAAGTGCGTATGGAGTCCAGCTGGGCGAAAGTTCAAGATGGCAGTCGATGTATTAAAATGCCGAATGCAAATTAATTAAATCCCGGAAATTAAAAAAAAAAATTGGCAAAGACAAGCCCACTCTATGATCACGCACAATTTAATTTTTTTGTCATTTAATAGTATATACTGCTCCTGAATTGAATGAGTGCTTTCAATTGTATGCACTAAGATTAACGCAAGTTGTGGTAGGGGCCCAAGTCTGCCATTTTGTTCTTGACGAATGGAAATCCTGTGCACGAACACCGATCGCGTGTTGGTTCTCGCCACTCGAAACCCCATTCTCATTCTCGAACAGGGATTTGAATACGCCCCTGGATTGAAGGCACAGTACAAAGCCAGTGCAGTGTTAGGCGTCTGGTTTCATCTTACCATGCACAGCTGATAGAGTATGTCACCCATGGCCTCCCTGATATTCTCATCAACAATCGGAAAAGTGCTGGCCAAATACTATAATAATACAAAATAAAAAAATCATTAAGAAACAAAAAAATGTATTAGACAAGCAAGAATTTTCCTCTGGACACATGGTTTAACCTTAGCGGTAGTCCGCTCGCCAAATGCGAGTAAAAACAGCGGCGGACTAGTCAAAACCATTCCCTAAGTAGTCTGCCTGGCGAGTCAAAATAATTGTAAATAACATTGTTGTTTATGACATTCTGGTGCAAAAATTTAAAAAGTTTATTGCGGACTAGTGAAAAGGCCCGCTGACTGAATAAGTGTCTGTTTCACTAGTCTGGTTGACTAGTGAAAAAAAAAAGTTAAGGGCGAACCCTGCCTCTGCACATTATGGAGTACTAAATTTATGTCAGGTAATGGCAAAACCTATGTCTTATTTTATTTTTTCCAACACAAAGTTCCAACGTCCTTGATAGCTGTATCAACTGCTGTATCAGATTGAACAAGCCAATTTGGGAAAACAAATGACTAATCTACTTTCTTTTTTGATATGTGAACATAACTTAAGGCCTTTTCACACTAGACAAATCTTGGGGTTGACGCGAGGTTGATGCAGGGTTGAAAACATGCCCCGTTTCACACTTGAAAATGTTCAACTCTGGGCCAACCCAGCGTCAACCCTGAGACTGATTTCACCCCGGGTTGAACTCAACCCTGCTCCAGACCGGGTTGAGATTTTCAACGGGGAATTCAACCCCGGGTTGAAACTCTTGACAGGGTTCAAAACAGTAGTAACCAAGAGATATAAGCTCGGTTTGTATGAAACGATGCAGGGTTGAACGCGAGGTTGATGCAGGGTTGAAAACATGCCCCGTTTCACACTTGAAAATGTTCAACTCTGGGCCAACCCAGCGTCAACCCTGAGACTGATTTCACCCCGGGTTGAACTCAACCCTGCTCCAGACCAGGGTTGAGATTTTCAACGGGGAATTCAACCCCGGGTTGAAACTCTTGACAGGGTTCAAAACAGTAGTAACCAAGAGATATAAGCTCGGTTTGTATGAAACGATGCAGGGTTGAATGTGGGTTGAAAAATCAAGAACTCAACCCAGGGCGGCACTGGGCCCGCCCAGGGCTGAGTTCAACCCGGATTGAGAGGCTCTAGTGTGAAAATATTTTTGTTGGTCTGACATCTCACTACCTTATGATTATAATGTGGTGTACAAATGTTGTCTTTCCATTGATTTTCATTGCAAGATTAAAAAAAAAGGTCATTTAAAAAAAAAAAAAGTAGCTCTTGTGAACCACTGGGCCACTATTGTTAAAATCTCCTTACTTCTAGCGTGATACTGGCTTGCCGTTGGCTATCGGCATGGTCCTCGTTGCCCATGGCGACCATCAGATTATGCACGCATCGCTTCTGGATGAGCTTCTCGGCAATGTCTCGCATTTCGCGGACCAGAATGCCGATGACTTTTGCAGCCGCGGCCTGCTGGACGTACACCGGTAGGGGGCGCTTCAGCTCAGGGATGTTCGGATCTGATGATGGAATTGCATATATACATACAATATAAATAAAAATGTCTTCATTCGAAATTTATAAAAATAACAGCGTTGCTGTTGAAACCCTCAGCCAGAGTCAAGTTATCATCCGGAAACCATTAACCTTTAACTCAACATGGTGACCTTGATCTTTGGCCTTTGACCCCAGAACCAGTCTCAACATGCCTGTACCAATGGGAAGCCCCCTACCGAAGTTAGACACCAAAATTTCATTTCTAACTCAAGTTATCATTTGGAACCATTGACATTTAACTCACCACAGTGACCTTGACCTTTGAACCCCAAAACCAATCCCAACTTGCCTGTACCCAAGGGCAACCCCCTACCTAAGTCAGACACCAAAATCTCATTTCTTACTCAAGTTATCATCCGGAAACCATTTACATTTAACTCACCACAGTGACCTTGACCTTTGACCTTTTGACCCTAAAACCAATCCCAACTTGCCTACTCCCAAGGGCAACCCCTACCAAAGTTAGACACCAAAATCTCATTTCTTACTCAAGTTATCATCCGGAAACCATTTACATTTAACTGACCACGGAGACCTTGACCTTTGACCTTTTGACCTCAAAACCAATCCCAACTTGCTTACTCCCAAGGGCAACCCCCAACCAAAGTTAGACATCAAAATCTCATTTCTAACTCAAGTTATCATCCGGAAACCATTTACATTAAACTCACAACGGTGACCTTGACCTTTGACCTTTTGATCCCAATACCAATCCCAACTTGCCTACTCCCAAGGGCAACCCCCTACCAAAGTTAGACATCAAAATCTCATTTCTAACTCAAGTTATCATCCTGAAACCATTTACCTTTAACTCACCATGGTGACCTTGACCTTTGACCTTTTGACCCCAAAACCAATCCCAACTTGCCTACTCCCAAGGGCAACCCTCTACCAAAGTTAGACACCAAAATCTCATTTCTAACTCAAGTTAACAACTGGAAACCTTTTACCTTTAACTCACCACGGTGACCTTGACCTTTGACCTTTTGACCCCAAAACCAATCCCAACTTGCCTACTCCCAAGGGCAACCCTCTACCAAAGTTAGACACCAAAATCTCATTTCTAACTCAAGTTATCATCCGGAAACCATTTACCTTAAACTCACCACGGTGACCTTGACCTTTGACCTCAAAACCAATCCCAACTTGCCTACTCCCAAGGGTAACCCCCTACCGAAGTTACAACCCCAAACAACATTTCTAACTCAAGTTATCATCCGGAAACTGAGCTGCCCGGACGGACGTTCCAGCCAGACGGAATTGTGGGGTGATAGCATTGTGTTCCCATTATCCCTTTTTCTAAAGATTCCCTTCTGGGGTGATGTTTTTCTATTGTGAAAAAAGTGGGGTGATGTGTCCTGAAAGGAACATCACCCCACAAGGGTGGTATGGTCAGAACGGACGGACACACTGACAGACACACATTCTAGCCAGACGGACTTGTGGGGTGATAGCATTGTGTTCCCATTATCCCTTTTTCTAAAGATTCCCTTCTGGGGTGATGTTTTTCCATTGTGTAAAAAGTGGGGTGATGTGTTCTGAAAGGAACATCACCCCACAAGGGTGGTCTGGTCAGAACATACAGACAGCCGGACGGACGGACGCCCTAGGCGATGACAATACCCCTCGAGCCTCTCGGCTGAGGGGTAAAAAGCAGAAGGATAACATTGACAACATAAGAAAGAGGTAATAGTCAGAATTGTAGTCAAGACAAGCTTTGGGACATATTTCTAAGGGAATGAGGGCACTCTATTAATGCATTTTAGGAGTACGAAACAGTACAAATATCACGTTTATTGAGGCAAATTTTCTGATTTAGCAATTTATTAAACTGCTATCTAAAAATTAAGGATTGTAAAATTCAAAATTTCTTAATTATAGAAACATGTACACTTCTGTGACTAACACAGAACTCATGTTCGTCTAAAAAAAAATACCAAGAAACAAAAAACAAACTTGCGTTGTCACAACACGCTCATTTCCCAAAATAAAGCCAATTAAAAGGAACTTTGTCACCAAGACATTCTTAATATCACAAGGAACAAAGGAAATGTCTGTTTATTGGACACCAACCAAAGTCGCAGGACATTGCTACCCTCACCTTGAATTACCAGCCAGTAAAGTCATTTTATAGGAACCTACTCATGGAAGACAAAATCACGGACGTCTGGTTAAAACCATGATCCAGTCAGTGATAGAGGACACTGGTGTAAAGACAAGAGAGGAACTGGCCAATCTAATGACAGACAGAACTAAGCTCGTCAACGTGCTTGACTCAAGCCACGCTGAGTCGATAATGATGATATTATGATGATGAAACAAAATAGGCTATTGCAGCAGTGTAAACTGTTACTTCTACCAATTCGATCAGATACTCAAGTAACCGTCTGTCTTGATTTTTGGACATTCGGTTCCCACACTTCCGGTACACATACGCCCCTATCCCTTACCATCTAAGATCTCTGGTCTCTTCATGTGTTTGTCCTTCACCGGAACCAAGGCTGCGACAAGGCTAACGAGCAACTGCTCCTGAACATCATAGGACATCAGGTCTTTGATCAGTTCGATTGCTAGAAACCAAGACAGGAGAAACGGGGACAATTCATTAATAAAGTCTTAATAATGCAAAGAAAGGACTTAAAGGTACAGATACATGGGATTATTGACTTTTTGCGCCTTTTTGTTGTTGTTAGACACATCAAAAGCCCTCAAGATTTTAAGAGGGGCGCTAACCTGTTGACTTGTTCAGTCAGTGAATACTATATATTCTGAGAAAACAGAGAAAATGGTGATCTGCACAATTTTGGTGGTCTTGTAACTGGATTCCAGTGTTACTTTGCGTAAAAAAAGTGTGCCACCAGGGAATCTATTTTGAAACCACCTTCAAAGTTTGTTATCTTCCAAACCATACCAATTCAGGCGGAATAATTCCACAGGGTATTTGATACCAGTCCTCTCTTCACTTTGAGCTACTTTTCTGTCATAAATCGGCAAGGACTATTCCAGGTTTTTGTAAATGATGCACGACCTTTAACAAGGTCGTGGGTTCGAGTCCAACCTGAGCAGGCTTGTAAAAAAAATTTCTAACAAGCTCTCAGAGGACTGAGTAAACGATGCTAAGAAATTTTGATATTGGGCTTTGCCAACCAAAGAAAGCCCTGAATCCTTTACTGGAAGTCTTTACTGTGAAATATCGAAACACAGAAGTGGTAATTTGAGAGTGAGGTGTCAGGATTTGAGGTAAGCTTACCTTCAAACTGAACCTCAAGATGATAAGACTTCAGCAGTTCCACCAATGGCTCAACTATGTTTGGATTCGCCTGACGTACAATTTTCTGTGGACAAAATAAGATCTTCCGTTAATAAATGACCAAACTGCAGAGAGGTTTTGGTTAAGTATCAACTAAGTAAGCACAGATGCTGGGGCGGTATCTTCATGTACCTGGGGGAGGGTAGTCTATGAAATAGTCGCCTGCACACAAGCGTCTATGATATTTGCACAGATTCGGCCATTCATTATGCAAAACACCACCACGTCTTGACCTCCAGATTCTGACCATTCATGGGGCACCTTCTGTCGGGTCCTGATAACCAATTGTTGTATGTAACAAAAACATGGCGGCCAATTGACCAATCAACAGCTGAGGCCAAAATTTCTGCTCGAAATGACCTCACAATTTCTAAAGTCGACTCCGATTGGCTGTTTAGCGGGGTCGCATAAAATTTGCATGTTCAATATCAGATGTTTGAAGTGTGGCTCTGCACACGTGAACATCTGATCCTAAAAGTAGGGGGGGGGAGGGTTGAAATCTCTACTTTGTCTGAAAATTCAGATTTATATACTTGTAACCCCCCCCCCCCCCCCCGAGTTGAGATCCTCTGGCTAAATGCCGCTCCATTTTCTGCTACAGAAATGCAAATTTGGTTGAGCCAAGTAATGCATTCCAAAAGAAAAGGGCTCAACTAAACCAACTGACCTGTACAATGCGTAACGTCTGGGCGGCCATCTGCTGAGCTTTGGGTGAGCTGGATGGCAACAGGGCTATCAGTCCCTTGTAGACCTGGCTCTCAAACTTGGGGTTGCCCTGGGCCAGAGTCTGTAGCGTGTGACGGGCACACTCTTGGGTTTCTTCTGACTTGGACCGGGCCAAGCACTCAGCCACGGCTCGGATACCTGGATTGAAAGATCAGGAAATGGAAGATCAAATTCAAATACTAGGGGCTCAATACGCTGTAGAAGTGGCTATGGCATACCCTGTCCAGGTCATGTGTTGCCAAGGGAAATGTGTCCAAACAATTATTACTGTGTATGCAATATACAGGGTGAGTCAAAAAAAGCGAAACTCAAATGTCGGGACCATTGTTTTAGTGAAGTTCTCCATGTAGCACTTTCAAAATCTAGGATATGGAAGCCCAATTCATAAGCTTTCTTTTAGTAAAAGAATCATTCAAATCGTTCATGTACTTTTAAAGTAACGGAATTTTAAAAACAACCACCGTTTTAAAGTTCTGTCCACGGATCACAAGAAAATAAGTGTTCTTTCAGCAAAACGAAAACAAATCACATAGGGATGTCTGTAAATTGGTTTCGTTTTGCTGAAAAAATGCACACTTTTTTTGTGATCCGTGGACAGAACTTTAAAACGGTCCCGACATTTGGGTTTAGCTTTTGTATTTTTACTCATCCTGTACAAGGTATGTCTTTCAAGCATCTTGTGGTCGGTTTGGAAATGCAAAATAACGGTATTTGTCACAACTAGAGTGGTGTCTGCAGTCTGCCAAGAAGCTCTAGTACTGGCCCATGCCTTTTTTGACACCAATTTTGTGGTGTTGTCGTATTTCGACTATTCAACTTGTATGCCAAATGTGGTGGAAAGAGTTTGGACAAGACGTTATGCGAGACGACCCTGCATGACGTCACGTTTCTGTGGAATATTTCACGTCTCTGCTTATTTAAGTTTAGAATCCCAACTGACTATGGATGCTTACAGGAAAGCGTATTTCTAGGGTTTGCTAGGACTTTTGACTTGCACAGGTGCGTACATCCCGTAAGTAAAGATTTTGTGCAAACACGGCAAGGGCAAAATTTATGTGCTTGTGCTGTGAGCTCGAAATGATGAACATACGAATACAATTTTGAAAGCAAGTCAAAGTTGTCAAAATGAAAACTTTCATATGGGCTCCGTGCGCAAGTACCCCTTCAACGGCCAGAAATGTAAGGCTTCCAGTCCATCCATTGTGGACTTTGAATGTATCCATAGTTATGGGGGGCGGGGATTAGTCTGAGCAACGATCAAAAGAAACATTTGAACGCATTCGCGCGTCGACGAAACCTGATGCTCACGCGAAGATGCTGTGACTGAACTTTGGCACATTCAGGATATTATTCATGCATACTTCGCGAGCGCGAACTAGTACAGTACAGTACGCACACGCGGTGTATCACATTCACGAGACTCTCAAAAAGGGGTAAAAAAGCGCTCTTTTTGTTGGCGCACGGAGCACATAGGTGCCGAACTGGACTTCATATCATGCAAAGCTTCTAAAAATTGTATTGGTTTTTATGTTCTGTATCCATACTGCCTCCCCTATAGTGGCATACTATGTTATTTATTCGTGCTGACCTCATGACCCCATGTCAAAGGTCATAACGACAATGTTACACTGAGCAGTTTCAGACTCTGCATCCGAGTATTTACTCAAGCTGTTTTCAGTATTCGCAGCCGAAAAAAACTTTGCCCACGTGTGCTTTTACATGTACATACCGTAACTCTCACAGATGAGTTCCTTGTACTTGCGCCCAGCATTAGCGATGCACATGAGCAGATACAAGGCCTGCGTCTTATCCTCTTCCTTGGCTTGCTTCAAGCCTAGTATCTCCAAGACAGTCAGAACCCCGCCCACCTCGAGGAACTCTGCCAAAAACTTGTGCCTGTCAATGAATTGTTTGTATTACGATTATGAAACCAAGGGTTTTGGAATTGTGAACTTTTTTTCAATTTGGGTTGTTACACTTCTTTTAAAGTGTTGAAACTTAAAGCTTTTAAAGTAACATTCTATGAATAATTCTTTGAATTAAAGAATACATGTAAGTAATCATCTGAACAAATGATTTGCTGTGAGATCCATCGAGCTATGACTTGCAAGAGAATAGTATACAAATATGGAATTCTTCGAGTGGTGTAGTAAAACTAGCCTCCCGAGGTGATCCATGGACATTCTGTTCTCCCGAGGCGAAGCCGAGGGAAAAAGGAGGGCAGTATGGCCAAACTCACCCGCTTGAAGCAGAGAGAAATATCGTCAGTGCTTGTAGCTGCTGGCTGAGACATGTTCCCACCATGTAGCTAAACAACGACGCGGTTAAGGAAATATTGAAATGTATGTATTTTGTTCATATTGGGGGGGGGGGGGAAGTGACTGACAGGTCACAGGCCCCCTTTGTCTTCCCCCTCAACTAAGATTTTGGAGAAAGAAAAAAAAAGCTCTGTGTTTTTTCAAAGTATGATCAAACCAATGTGCCGCTTCCAAAAAAACGAAGCGCCCTTAACCACTTCATGCCAGAATTATTATTGCTGAAAATTTTGATTATCGCAGAAGGCAAAATTTCCCAGCTAACTTCTGATATACAGCAAAACGCCACAAATACTGATTTGCAAGTGTCATTTCAACAGTATTTGTACAAAACATGTACCGGTATTTCTCGCCTAAACCTCATTTATTTCAATACTCCGGGTGTGCACTGGAGCATAAATTGTCGAACAATAGGATGTGTAAAACGGCCAATTCAAATTCAACACACAGTCTGTCTCCACAGATTTCATGGGCTTTGTGTGCCTGTACAAAAGGCATGAGGGATTGTTAAGACGTCACTGTGACAGTCACCTGGATGTGAGTCGAGGCAATCTTGGTATCTTAACCCATCAGCCGTGCCTGTGTATAAAAACAGCCAGTGAATGTTATCACATCTTCCGACGCGAACTGGTTATAATAGTAACCCCAAATTAACTAAAAACAGAGGGCGATTGGGTGCTGGGTAAAGCCATACCTGTGTAAGTTATTCACAAAATATTAAACTCAAAACTCAATGCCAATTTTTAAAAAAAAAATTAAACTGTTTTAGCCAAAGCCAAGGATACGTCAGTCTTATCCAAGCAGTAAGCCGAGCCAGGAATAAGCTGGCTGCCTGGGCGAAATCTGCTTCCAGCTCGGGCCCAGTCTTGTTCTTGCTGGTGTGTATGAAGTCATTCAGGATCCTGAGACGAACCGAGGTGGAACCTTTGTCCCATTCCTGGAGCATGGCCATGACACTGCTGATTGCTGTCTGAGCTTTGGCCATTGTGAAAATCTGTAAAGACAATGACAAAGATCATCAAGTCGTCATAAGTCTTGTTTATGGCTGCCTGAGTTTTAGCCATTGTGAAACCATGGTGAAACCTACAAAGACAATGACACAGTTGTGATCAAGTCATTATAAGTCTTACTCTTACGTCTCCTTACAGCTGTCTGAGCTTTGGCCCACTGGGAAAATCTGCAGAGACAAATGACAAAATTGTCCTATCGCCGTTGGCGAGTTGGCCACGCCCCTCAGACAACCCTATGGGAATTTTTGTACGCTAAAAGGCTTGTTTGTCTCAGGTGTTGCGCGTTCCACATCCATTTGTATATCCTGTAATTGGACAATATTTCACGATTCTACCGCGATTCTACTGTGATAGGTCAATTGTGATCAAGAGACATTACGATGAAATATGCTAAGTTATGCCTGATATTAGTAATAATAAGGTTGAATAACCAAGTTTGGCGTAAATATAAGATAGTGGATATTTTGCCGGAGGTAATGACGGCAAACTAACGATTACTAAAGGTTTGCCGGCGGCAATCCATATCAACAGAGGGCGCTGTACTCTTTAAAATAGGGCTGAATTATAACATGTATTAAATTCCCACCAAAAGTTGTGTAGCACATTCGGTGTAATGGTTAAGCAAAGGCTTTAGAAGGCGGGATGACTCGCGTTCGATTCCAACCGCACCACATTTTAAAGTTTTTTTTTCCCGAAGTGGCTGTCGTTACGGCACTCGTTGTTTAGCGCCCTCTACGATATTTTTTTGATACGCACGCGGGTATATAATTATTTGTTTCCCCACGTCTTATTGAGCAGTGCGCCAGCTCAGCCGATAGAGGGTAGGATTTTGCACCGCGAGGTTGCGGGTTCGAATCTCAGTTTTGCACTCGAATTTTTTTCCTTTTCTAACCTGAGGCTTTGGAGGATTTTTTTTAAAAGGGAAATAAAGTCCGAATTTCTAAAGTTCAAATTCACTTTTTTCCTTCTAATTTTATATTTTCTTGTCATGTTTTTTTATAAAAGTTGCCAGGTTGCAGTCTACCGTAACGATAGAAAATGGGAAATGCGTTACGGCTGCCGTAACAATAGCCACTGCGTTTTTTTTCTCATCCCCAAATAAATAAGAATATTCTTCTTTTATTATTTTAACATGTCTCAAACATTTTTTGCAGAGTATTACATTTTCTTTTTCAGATTTGTGGCTCTGGAGGATTTTTTTTAAAAGGGAAATAAAGTCCGAAATTATAAAATGGTCTGAATCCCTTCTTGTGAATACGAGGTAACAACGATAATTTTGGCATGGAGCCAGACTAAAACTTGTCACCGGAAAATGTTTAAGTACAAAAAAACAGTAACTGCGCATGTTCAGTGCATATCCGGCAAACTAACGTTTACTAAAGGTTTGCCGTCTCCGGCAAAATATACACTGCCTAAATATAACAATTAACGTCAAGAATCGCAAACTGCATCGATTACTTGTGCTCTTTCTACTTTCTAATTAGTCTTAGTGAAACCATGGAGGAATAAAAACATCTGTGAATGTGCTGAATTTTCTAACACCAATCAATGAACACGCTATGCAGTGCTATGTAGTTGGGTTGTGCTTGCCGCACACACACATGCCACATTCCACAGGCACAGCCGAATGTCGGACACTTCGCCCCATTTCCACGTCGCCCCATGTCACTTCGCCCCTAACCACTTCACCCCATGCCCACATCGCCCCATGCCCACATCGCCCCATGCCCACATCGCCCCATGCCCACATCGCCCCATCCCCACATCGCCCCATCCCCACATCGCCCCATTCCCACTTCGCCCCATCCCCACTTCGCCCCATCCCCACTTCGCCCCAGCTGTTACATGTAAAAAAAAGAAAAAAAATCTCATCTATTTTATTGGCTTAAAAACAATTCCAACAGATTCACTAATTGCTAACCAACGGAAAGAATTAGCCCACCAAATGAACAATTCATAGCCAACCTCTCAAGCTATCACTCTCCCCTACCGAGAAAATAGCTTGAAGTAAAAGATCCAACTTTGTTCCCAACCCGGCTATACCAACCCGTCTCCAATATCTGAGAACGACAATACCTTTGAGTGACATCCTAATTTCACTCTTGGAGGAACCAATCTACATGGGGCGAAGTGGGGATGGGGCGAAGCGGGGATGGGGCGAAGCGGGGATGGGGCGAAGCGGGGATGGGGCGAAGCGGGGATGGGGCGATGCGGGGATGGGGCGATGCGGGGATGGGGCGATGCGGGGATGGGGCGATGCGGGGATGGGGCGATGCGGGGATGGGGCGAAGTGGTTAGGGGCGAAGTGACATGGGGCGACGTGGAAATGGGGCGAAGCGTCCGACACCCGGCACAGCCATATGACAGTGCGCACAGCAACAGCGGCGCAGCGCGGGCCAAAACTTTTTTGAGCAGGGCTAAAAAATGCCACACTTACCGATCAAAATGCCGCAAAATAGAACAACACAAAGGAAGATATGGTTACCGTCGATACGACTACATGAGTACGTTGAAATCTACATCAATTACTGAGGAAAACACAGGCATAACGTGGGTTTTCGAAAAATGGAATCCAAATCTACGCAGAAAATCACACGGATGTTGATATGTTGCTAGCAAACGGTTCTGCTTCCGGTAGGTCAATATGCGTGGCTAGTTTAAGTTCTAATAGTGATAGGGGTGGCAAATTGTGCATGAATTGTTCTGTAAAATATCATTCCTCATTACTCCTTGTCAAATGGCAAAAAAGTTTGAAAATATGGATGATTACAGAAACATACATGCATAAAAGCAAAACTAAATCGCTCTTAATACGAAATTTATCAATTTTGTGTTTTCATATTTACCCCTATTTTGAAATGGAGCCGGCTTGATGCCTTGTATACCCACGGCTCCGAAATCATCCATTAAAATACTGCGAGGTTGGTATTACGCTATGGGAAATTTTCTTGGATGAATTCTAAAGTCTAAGCACTTTGTGCATTTGCGCGACTACATTTTTACGTTACCGGCAAAAATGGCGGACCTTGATGTGCCAGACTTGGAGTATCATGTCACTTTCCCAACCGCAATTTCCACGGAAAGCGGGGACGGAAACAGCGACAACCCAGCTCTATCGGATCGCAAAGAACCAGTAGTTATTTTACTCGGTTGGTTGGGCTGCGAAGACCGGCATCTCAGCAAGTACAGTGCCATCTACCACTCGATCGGTTTCACCACAGTCCGCTACACGGTGCCGCGCGAACTCATTCTCACGCCAAGCCCCGCGAAGTTGAAAGTCGTCGCAAGGAAAGTCCTGGAACTTGTGTTTGACTTGGGGCTGGAGGAAAACGTGGTGTTCTTCCACGTTTTCAGCAACGGTGGCTGCTTTCTCTACAGGTATATCACGCAGTATCTGCACAACCCGGCATACGAAGGAGGAGAACTGGCTTCGATAAAAGTGGGCGGGTGCGTCTTCGATAGCGCACCTTGTGACACCGACCTGTTGACGCATATCAAAGTGCGCAACAGACAAGACAAGACAAGTGGATTCTTCATGCGTATCGTCTACACACTACTGCTCCTCCTGGGGACCCTCTTGAGTTTCTTCGTACCGGTGAGTTGGTCGGGGAACATACCCCAAGAGCTTCGGTCCTTCATGTCTGACATGAAATCGGACCCGTCCCGCTACCCACAACTGTTTCTCTACTCCAAAGAAGACCCTGTCTGCAATTGGAGAAAGGTGGATGATGTGGTGGAGGCGCGCAGAAAGAAGTACGTGGAGGTTCAGCAAGTGTGCTGGGAGACCGCGCCCCACTGCCGCCTCCTCCTTGCTCACCCTGACGAGTACATTCAGAACTGCAAAGATTTTGTGCAAGGCTGCCTGCTGAATTTTGTGGATGAAGATTGACTTCTCACATAGGCCTAGTTCCCGGTAGTGGCAGATAATCACGATCAGACGATGAAGGGATGAGACACTTAAGACGAAGACCCAGTCTTATTCAGTCAGCAGAGTGATGCACTCTTACAAGTGTTTAAATCATAACACGACATATCATCTGCCTATCATGCCTATGTCTGCATGTTTATTAATTTCTCAGAATCAGTACTCTGGTGTTTCTGCATTTTGCATAAATGTGTTGTGGACTTGTGGTATGAAAAAAAAGCTGTAACTGCCTCACTGAAGTCCTTGTACAACCATGGAGGAATAAAATTCCTCCATGGTACAACTAGGCCAATAAAGTTTTATTGACAAAGTCAAAAGAGGATGCTTACATTTAAGCTGGTCTACCATCTTGCAGTTGCAATCAGAACGTCAAGATATCAGATTTTTGAAATGCGAATTTGTCATTATTTTTGCTCCTTAAAAAAAAAAAGAAAAGTTAAATGGTCTCATGAGGACCATATTTGGGTTTGGAGCAATTTGTTGTTCAATTTGATATGTTCAAATTAAATGAAGCACCACTACATGTAAGTGTTAGTTTAATACCAGTACAAAACCTGATGTTTCAAAAATGCATTGTGTATATATATTTTAATTTAAAATAAAAGTAATTTAACATTAACATTTTTATTGCAATAATACCTGAGGGTTGCACGCAGTGTGGATGTTTATCGAACAAGTTACATCAATCCCAACAAATTTCAAAATACAAGTAGCAAAACTGTATACTTAAAACTAAGTTTAATTTAGTTTTCAATGATACTTGTTAAATTCACTAGGTCTGAAAAGAGTTTTGAAAAAATTTTGACTTGGGACTTTTGTCCAAGTTTATGCCTATATGAAGCAAACTTCAGAATTTGCATCTGAAATCCAAACGGTCAACATTCTTTACATTTGAAGAGAATAATTTGCATGTATATATTTTTTGTTTTCACTTTTTATATAAATTCACAAGAAACATTTGTTGTGTCTCACTGTTTGCTATTGTTCTGAATGTCGTTATGATGTTATAAAAGTTGTGCTTGATGCAATGCCTTTGCCTGTTTTTTGTTCATTTTATAGGTGTTACTATTTCCCCATCAAGCTGTTAATCTAATTTAATTAAGGATCAGAGGTTCACGTGTGCAAGCCTCACTACCAATGTCTGATATATCAGAGCATGCAAATTTTATGCGACCCCACCGGCCAGCCAAATCAGAGTCAAAATTAGAAATTGGGATGTCATTTCGAGCAGAAAGTTGGCTTCAGCTGTTGATGGCAGCAAATTGAATTCGCTGCCATGTTTTTTTTGATACAACAGGTTACCGAAGACCCGACAGAGGGCGCTGCACCCTCTGAATGGTCAGAATCTTGAGGTCCAGATGCAGTCTTGTTTTGCATAATTGCTGAACCTTCGTGAATATCATAGACATGTGTGTGCAAGCGGCTATACCATAGACTATCAAGGTCTTCGGTCTGGGGTGAACTTTACATTCCTTTATGTATTGAAAGCAAGGCAGACAATGGGTTTGATTAATTTTTTTGGGGGGGGGGGGGGTGGTAGCATACCTGGGGTCCAATTTATAGAGGGGTACACAAGCAGGGGCCCATCCCCTGAATGGCCCCCTTGGTTACATCACTGAGGGTATGGGTATACACTAATCTTCCCCATTCGCTCTTTTCACACTTCCGCCATGAGCACACTGAGCCTCGATCTGGCAACTTTACACAATAAATATAGCCCATTCAGTGATTCCCGTGTCGGGGTTCAGATCACTGAACCGGCTATTTTTAGTGTGTAAAGTTGCCAGACCGAGGCTCTGCATGCCCAGTGGTGGAGTGTAAAAAGAGTGAATTGAATTTCTTTACTTAATAAAACTGCAGTCCCTGCAAAACGTACAAATCAAACAAATGGAACAATTGTTTTTGTTACAAAACCAAACTTTTTTTATTTTCTTTTATCTGCTTGTCTTCAATATGTTACATACATGTGAACATTTGTTTTTCTGTTTACTCTGTCCAATCCAAGTCACTCCAAACAGTGTCAACCCATTCAGTCAAAAGCTCATACAAAATCCAACAAAACGTTACATGTTTTCTTGCCCACAAGAGCATGCTTGTAGGACAATATTATTTGACAATAAATATTGTTATTAAACCTGTAAATACTTTCTTTTTTTTGTAAGCCAGACCGTAGAAAAATTTTCACAAGTACAAAGCTACAAAATCATTTTGGTGTTGTAAAATTTTGTACAAGTACAATCAATTTTCCTTAATAAAAATGTGTGCTGGTCCATTGTATGGCAAAGCTGGATATTTGTAACAGTTCCCCCCCCCTCCTCCTCCCTCAAGCACACAACTTCTAAGCTGTCGGCCCCATGAAAAAAATAACAATGAATGATGATGAATTCCCATGAAGAAACAAAAGAAGTGGTCAGTATAAGCAGCTTGAAAGTTTCAAACTGTGCATACACCGCATGCGTTGAATGTAGACCCTTGGTACAAGCAGTATTGGTCACTATTCACAGGTTGAACCCAGGAGTTACATCTTTGTTCCCGTTCCTGACAATATCAAGTTGTTTTCTAGGAGAGCTATTGAGAGAAGAAACGCCCTTCCCTAAAATGTACACACGTACGTAAAAAGTTCACCCCTACCTGTTAAAGAGAACGAGATATTGCTCGTCTCTCAAAGAAAGAAGGGGTGATCTTAGAAGACACAAATAAGCAGTTGTCAAACAGTATTTAAAAAAAGGAATGAAAGATATGCTGTAGTATAATACAGTCTTTTGTTACTGAAGAATAATAAAGATAGAAATCAATGAAAACCAAAAACTGTGCTAGAGGACAGGGCAGGCCATCTCTGGAACAAACTGTCCCGTCCACTATAAAAACACATTGGCAGGAGAAATTATTTGCATTAACTTTTTTTTCTTTCGGTTATCCAGGTCGTGCCTGCTTTTTAGCAAAATATTGTCTGTTATCATTCCAACATTATGTACTAGTCATTCGCTTTGAAATCAATGGTACCAACTTTCGCTGTTTTGAACTGAAAAGCTGGTGAATGCAACTTGGTTGAAAGTGAATAAAGACTGACCCTCGTCTAAAAACAAAAAGGCCAAAAATTGGAGCGTAAATCTCACCACCAAAATTTGAAAGTGATTACAGTAAATTCCACTGCAAATAATTTCTCCAGCACAGTAACTGACAGCCCCTCAACCAATGTCAAATAATCCCGGCGTATCAGTTTTGAAGTTAATAGGAAAAACAAGACTCCGGCTATACACCCGGTTTATATTACACGCTAATCACTACAAAGTATAAAGAATGGTATATAATACAGAGAATATATCCATTTATAGTAATAATCAACAGCCTATATGTAGAAACACAGAGAAATATGACAAATTGCCAGGTATAAAGTTTTGCTTACTAAGGAAAGATTCAAAGGTGTTTTTTACAAAAAGCATGCAAGTATGAATAACCTTAAAGGAGTGTGCACAAGAATAAGTGGGTCTCGTCAGAAGTTTTGACCTATATTTGGAATGAGATTGCATTTATAAGGCTTTACAGTTGTTTATTGGGATGAAAAAATAACATTGGTCAATTAACAAATATAATTTGTGCATTCATTTGTCCAACGTTAATTGAAACAGGACAGGTGAGGGAACTTGAATCAATGCAATTTAATTCCGAATAAAACCCAAAACTTGTGACAATACCAACACATTTCTTGAATAATTATTAAAGATAAATGACATATGTTTTTGTTATACGGACTACAGCGTATATGTAGATGAACAGTAAACCAAAGCAGAAATACGGGATGCTAAAGGAAAAATAAAATCTTGCAAAAAAGTAGAACTTGTTACTCTTTTTCACCCTTAAACAAAAATCACCACTTGGCTCAACTTTTGGGAATGTCGAATTTCTGTAGTCATTTGGTATGATTAAAATGTACAATACGTAAATGCTAATCACCTAACGACAAGGCATTAAACGTCAACTTAGATGCAAAGCTTGCAAATTCAGAATGAAGAAAACATGATACAAGAACAAACCACAAAATATACCATTTTCACCTTGTAGTGCCCCCCCCCCCCCATCAGAAGGTAAGAAACAAAACTAACTATTGCCAGTTGAAGCATTGTAATACATTGGCCATTAAAATCCTGTTTACAAGTCTGCCAGGCTAAAAATGAAGCACCTTTAACATGTACAGTCTGGCACCTGACTGGTCAAAGCCATGATTTCCCTAGTCATGCTAAAGGAAACATGACCTCACTTGTGACCCTGTTTGAGGGTTAACAAGTTTTGATTTGTCTATTTCACAAAAAAAGTTGAATATTTCAGTTTAAACAACCATCGTTGAAAGCAGGTGCCAGTTATTTGCTGGTGAAATAGCAAAACTTCAGAAGCTGAGTTTTTTCCGCAAAAGATAGAAGGTGGCAAGAGAAAAAGTTTGAAGATGAAAACTGCCATTAGCTTGAGGGGCATTAATGGAGCCAATCTGGCCAAGAAACTAAGAGGAAAAAAGAGGGCAATGAAATAAAACGGATGCACACATAATAGAGATAAACATTTAGAGATATACATAGAATTAGAAAATGAAAGGTCAAAGGTCACAGAATATACCCTGGTAAGCCCAGAAGCAGACTGATGGTTTGGCAGAAGAACCTCCACGATAAGTTTTGATGGGAACATCGTATGAAAGAGGTTTCTGTTTAGTATGGTTGACAGGCCATCAATCAGGTTTCTTTGAATACTGACCAGAGTTTACATTCTCCTGGACGCCAAACTAAAGAAAAGCGCATTTGCTGGTGTAGAGTGAGAGACCCAAGAACAAATCTGACGAAGCACAAATATAACTTTTCAGGTCTGCTTCTGGGCTTGACCAAATTTTGTAATAGAGCAAAGAGTAAGGAGGGAAAAAACACACGAGTACAGAAGATGTACGACAAGAGGCTAGGGGAAAATGCATCAGAATTCCCGCACAATGAGAATGAGAGGAAAAAAAGGGCAGATTTGAGACAAGAACAGTTTAGAAAGTTGAGGCAAATGACAAGGACACATAAGGCTGTTGATGTTTAAGACAGTGTAAGAAAGGGCTGTGCTAGTAAGAGTGAATAAAAGTTTCTTTTAAAAAAAGAAAAAAATTCAGTGTTTAAGGCACACATTTTTTATTGTTTTTTTTTTAATCTTTTTTTTTTTTTCAGCCTTCTTTGTGGAATGATTTCCATAAAAGTCAAGTCCAATATCAACTGTGTCGAGAGGTTGCTTGGCGATCCATTGTCAACCTTAGGTTTGATGACATGAGCCAGATGCAGGTTTCTATGGTGACGACCTCTCACCTCGCCTTTAAAGCCCGTCGTCCCTTTTGTTTTGGCCAGGTTACGAATACTTGATATAACATATTTTCCAACCGTCCAATATTTTTCCTGCCTTACAAGAAAGCAAAGGCGATCCTCTCTCCTTCCACAATTTTTAAAAATTATTTTGTTTTTGCTTTATATACAAGATTTATCAATAAAAAAAATTGTTGAAGGATGCTGACCAACTTTCAATTAATACTGAAAATATTGCGTGACGTTGGGCGGTTGGAAAACATGTCGCTGTATTACTTGGTTTGTTTTAATAATTATTCCATTTGTTAATATGGAAAACCATTCCAATTTCAGGCAGTTAATATACAACTAATATTAATAAAAACATCATGCAACTATGTCTCCAGACAACAGACTCAGTATCTACAATATCTGCGTTATATACTCTTGAAAAAAAAAAAAAATCTTACACTTTTTTTTTGTTCGTTCAATCTACAAGATATGGAATAAACTTTACTTGACTGGTACCAAAATATATATATTCAAGCCTCCAAAATTCTTGTTTCTTTTTTTCTCTTAATAAACACCCCAAAACTGTTCTCCAACAAAAAGGAAAGATGAAGAGTTAAAAAGCAAAACAAACCAAAACCTCAAAACCCTTGAAAACAAAAAGTGACATGGAATGACCCTGCGGCTGTCATGGCCCCTAAACGGACAATGAAGGATTTTTAAAAATACATTTTCTTAAATTAAATGTCTCGGTAAAGATTGTAAAATTTCGGGCTGTTTTGTTTAAATTCAACAACAAAAAACTTCCCAATTTTGGGGCACTTTGTTTCATATGCTTCACCCTGTTTTTAACACAGAATGATTCAGGGTATTAAACTGCACTCAAAGAAAGCTATCCCCCCCCCCTCCAAAACCTCAAAAAAAATTCTGATGGTGATATAATTGTTAACCAAATCACTGAAATAAACTGCAATTTATCAAGGAATGCAAATTACTCAACAAAAAGTTACAAATTTAAAGAAAGACATAAACTATAAACTTATAATGTCATTGATTTTTTTGCTCTCAAACCCGGTAACAAGTCAAGGTACTGAATTGTTCATTTTTTTCCCCAGAAAAAAATGTTTTTGGGACATTAATAAGAATTTAAAAAGTATAAATAATTTGGGAATATATACGACACGATCAATGGATGGATTGTCTTTGTGCAGATATACAAACAGGACTTTGGGTTAAAATTTCATCATTTTAACAGTTTTTGTCTTAGTTTTTTTCTTCCCTTTCTCAAAATGTATTATTATTAAACCTCTTTGCTCTATCAACGTTAGTATATACAAATGACCTCTAACCTGTCAATGGTAACAATAATATTATATTAATCAGTATTACAAATCTACGTATTATTGCCAAAAAATGCACATTCTTTAAAATAAAAAAAAGGTGTCCACTTTTAACAGTGAACATCCACTTTTGTTTACTTTGCGAATCAAGACAGTTGAATGTCCAAAAAATACAAGTCACAGTATCTGTCAGTTTATGAAATTCGGTTGTGGGGATTTTTGGACCCAAAAATTGTTAAACGATAACAGTGAAATGTCATTTTTTTTTAATTAAAGAATTCATATCCACTGGACTACCACCGAATTTATTTAAAAAGACCAACACATAATCAAAGTATGATGAACCACTGATATCACGTTAAGACGTAAAAAAAACAATGTTATCTCATTAAAAAAGACAATGAAAACTATTGATTTCCGATAAAGTTATTATATAACTGCATTCTTTACGACTCAAGGAATAAAGTACAATCAAAACATGCATCAAAATAGAGGAAAACCAAATACCTGTCACCACAGCAAAAAAAAATATCAAAAAATCAAAAAGACACAATGAAAGGTAGCGAACACTTTCCAAACACTGTGGCATCTATTCTAAAGATTTACACTGGAAAACGAAAATCAACACAAACGCATCCATGGCCGTGGGGATTTTAGAAAAATACTGACATTTTGTGATCAGGAAACGGTCCTTTTCCTCGTGGCGATTTGTTTAATGACATCCCTCTTGATAAGAATGAATTCGTTCCGTATCTTAAAAAAAACCTTCCAAGTACATTTTCACTATTGAAACTTGGTGAATTCTTTTTCTTTTTTTTCGAATGGAAAATATCTCTTCTTACAAGTTTCCTGTAAATAACATCAAAATCACAAAATGAAAGTATTTTTTTTCTCAAAACCCTCTCCCCTTACCAATTAGAGAAAAACAAAATCCAGATATATTCATTTTTTTTCAATATGAATGATAAAAGTTAATTAAAACATGCACAAAATGGCCCTCTTCATCAGGTAAAATCCCCCAGTTTATGACATTTTTCCCGAACAACTGTTCTTGTTTTTTGGTCCTTGGACCGTAAAGGAACACAAAATACAAAACAAAAACAAAATCTGTGTATCCATGGTTACAACATTAAGATCCTTCAGCAGAGAGTCCAGAAGATGAAAGATGAAATTGTTACCGTCCCTCGACAACAGAAAACCCCTATACCGTGATCATGGTATACTCCAAATGAATACTATCATACATATCTATTATGCAGTTTAGGGCATGCTTCACTCTTTTGACAGGGGTGGGAGAATCACGTGGCAACGCTTGACTTTCAAAGATCGTCTTGAATCATCCCCCATTCCAGGCAGTAAAATGAAACAATCCCAAACTTGCACCATTGACTTGGAGTATATTCCATTCAGTAAAAAGGGGTGTTTTTCTATGACATCTGTGTTTTGGAGAAAGACACCCTCAGGTGATTGGACTCGCTCAGCTGGTGATTGTGCTGCGCCTGTTGAACAAAAAAATAAATTAATAGATGAAGTCCTAAAAAAACAAAATTTCCTTTTAAAAATTTATATTAAAAAATGGAGATCATAACTTCACATCAAATTTTTTAAGGCAAAGCGAAAACATAACAACTTTAATGTTAAAAATGTAACGCAGCTTGGAAACTAAAATTTAACTTCTTTTACCTTTTTCTCTGCTCATACTGGTCAGTCAAAAATATATAAAAAAACTTTTGAAACTCAATCATTCAATGAGGAAGTCAGACAAACAGTTCACACGAGACCTCACTTTCCCTTTCCATCATTTTCTATTATGCATTCTTTAGCAAATAAAAAAACAACAACAATGAAATCCAGTGACTTACAATGAGCGCGTGTGTAGCCTCTTCCACCGAACCCATTTGGATCAAAGCCATACGCCGATCCTTCCTGTTGGCAGAAGATTTTAAGAAAAAAATATTCAAAACTTAAAATCCCATTTTTCATTTATCATATCTTATGAACCTGTACACAGAGTGGTTCGGTAGAATAATGCGATGTTTATACAGCACTTCGTACCAAAGTATTGAAGCGCTTCACAACTACGCCTGTTCTTCAGACTATGAAACCACTTTTCTACGGCAGCTCGAGATCAGCGCAATCTGATCTCTACCTTCACAGGTACACATTTATACTCCTGGGTGGAGAAAGGCAATCGTAGTAAAGTGTCTTGCCCAAGAACACAAGCACCGTACATGAACATTCCCCATCAGGGTTCGAACTGACGCACGAGTCAAACACCGTAATCGTGGGACCGCGGCACTAGGATACGAAACACCTCTTTCGTGGAAACATCCAGGAAAACAAGACAAGGCAAAGCCGGTCCCAGAGCGTGCAAAATTATATTCAATTGATTGAGAATGGCTTTTCACAGGAAGTCCTTTCATGCATGTGGCCTATGCAATGAACCAGATCTAGCCCATTCACTGGCATTGCTGATCCATCATGTACAATAGCAGTGCCATGCTCACCAATGACAGTTTTCGGGGAGTCAGTCAGTCAGTCAGTCAGTTCGTGAGATAGTTCCAAAGAGGACACAAAGGAAATGAGAGAAACTTACGGGAAAAACTTGAAAGACACAACTGTTCCGTGATTACTAAAGGCACTTTTAAGTTCCTCCTCTGTTACGCTGGCTCTGCGTCGACAAAATAAAAAAATACAAATAAAAACAAATCAGAGCAATTACAAAATTTAGTAAACATAAAGATCAATGTTAACAATGAAATTTGTCTCCATCAACTGAAAAGCACATGTCTCAGTAAAGTCAGTGTAGTGCTGATATTTGAAAATGTACATTTACCATACATGTACATGTACTAGAGATACCGCGTTGGGGAAAAAGTTTTGTACTCGTACTCATACCTATGGAAAAGTACTTGTAATTGTACTCACAGAAATGTACTTGACTACCACACAACTATAAATTCATTTGAATTTGTCGATGTTTCTTTCAAAGAACAATTATAATCACTGAAGGGTTTGAAAACAAAAGTAACTTCTGAGCCTGTGAAGTTAATTTAATATTTCTGTACAATTCTTCGCATCTGGGTGAAATAATGTATTGGACAATATGCCTTGTTCTAAAAAAAACCACCCAAAATAACTGAAACAATGGAAAAGGGTTTCCGAAGGATTTGTAAAGAAACGCTGTCATAAATTTGACGAAATACCTTGTTCTCAAAGAAACTGGGGGGAAAAAAGGAAAGGGGTTGAGGAAGGATTTGCAAAAATAAAATTAAAAACTTACGGAATGTTGGAAAGATGAAGGGTAGCTGAGGGTGGGAATATGTTCTGGAAATTCTTGGAGCCTGGCTTCTTGAACCGGTGCAGTGGTGAGTTGCCGTAGTCTTTTGTCAGGCCCGCATCCTTCAACACAAGAAAAGGTCAAACAAACCATTTAAATTCCTCAAAAGGACAATACAAAATGTATCAACGAAATCTACAAAACCTCTCAACTCTTTTATTTTACTGACATACAAATGTAATTCTGATGTTAATAATTCTGATGTTAATTGCTGGAGGAATCTGGAAAAGAGTGGGGGAAATCCTCACCGGTTGGCCTTCTCTCGGCATGGCCACCTCGCGGTACTTGGAGGGCGCCACTCTCAACTGTTTGGTGTACAACTTGATACCGTTCAGATTGGCCAAGGCTGCAGGTCACAGGGAAAGAAACAGGACAAAACAAAAACAAATTCAATACAAACGACTGGAGATAGTGTACAAAATAAAGGCAAGTGGAAACAAGTCAGGTGTGTTTACAAACACAAATGCCCCGCAACCGTGACAGTTCCCATGACATAACACCACTCTTTTAACATCAACTTACATGTACCTTGGTCACATGGAACATTCATTGACAGCATTAGTGTCTTCTGTAGGTTTTATATGAATTAATCTCTAATCCCTATAATCTCAGAATAAATACATGATTTCTATTGTTTAAGCCACTGTGAACTTGACCATTGACCTTTTGGCCCCAAATTCAATAGGCTTCTTAGGATTACCAAGAACAATCCACAAACCAAATTTGAAGTTCATATGTTAAATATTTCTCAAGTTATCGCGCTGACAAGATTTCTATTGTTTTAGCCACTGTGAACTTGACCCTTGACCTTTTGGCCCCAAATGCAATAGGCTTCTTAGGATTGCCAAGAGCAATCCACAAACCAAATTTGAAGTTCACATGTAAAGTATTTCTCAAGTTATCACGCTGACAAGATTTCTATTGTTTTAGCCACTGTGAACTTGACCTTTGGCCTTTTGGCCCCAAATGCAAAAGGCTTCTTAGGATTACCAAGAACAATCCACAAACCAAATTTGAAGTTCATATGTTAATTATTTCTCAAGTTATCGCGCTGACAAGATTTCTATTGTTTTAGCCACTGTGAACTTGACCTTTGGCCTTTTGGCCCCAAATGCAAAAGGCTTCTTAGGATTACCAAGAACAATCCACAAACCAAATTTGAAGTTCATATGTTAAGTATTTCTCAAGTTATCGCGCTGACAAGAAAGGGGGGGGGGGCGGAGTATCTTTTAGAGAGACTATACGCACCTGTCTGGGACTGATGGGGATCAGCCATTTGAATGAGAGCATTGTCTCTCTTCTCATAGAGGATCTTGACTCGCCTCACATCACCGTAAACCCCTGCAAAACCAAAGCAAAGACCAATCATTACATATTGATCACTTCTACCACCAATGATTGACAATTTCAACACATGGGACCAAAAAAAGATACCTATTTGATTTCAAAACTTTCCTCAGTTGCTAGGGAAGGTCAGTTACAGAGTTAAGGGTTTGCACTGTTCAGCAACCATGCCATTTGTGTTTTTAGTTTATCTAATTTTTTTTTCTATCAGTGTTTTTCTGACCTAAAGATTTCTGAAAGCAATTAATAAAAAATAAAAAAATAAAATAAAAAAAGACGCTTTCAAATGACTTCGCTTTCAAAGTTTCTGTTCGTGTCTTGTGTCTGCAAAGCAACAGCAGAAATTTAAAGTGAAATTTGGGAAACCACAAGAATTTTAGAAACAGTTTCTTCAAAGATAACCAAAAAAAAAAAAAACTGCAGAGATTTTGGAAAAATAACTTAAAACATTTATTTGGGGTAGACTAAACATTCACTTTTAAAGATTTGAAAGCAAGATAAATCAAAGTGTAGATAAATAAACTCTAATGCTTCATATTAACAGAAACAGCAGAAGGCAAACTTTTCAGAACTTCCATCTAAAAGACCCTCACACCGAAACTAAAAACAAAGCCCAATTGAAAAAATTGCTTCGCAGAACTAAAACACGCCAAACTGGAAAAAACCCAAAGCCATTAATGAAACGGAACAAAAAGGAAAAAAACAAAAAAACAAAGAAACAGAGGCAGCTTGGGGCGTGAAAGCATTTTTTGCAAACGTCCATTGATTTATTTATTTTTTTAAAAATTCAAGACAATTATCGGAAAATCAAATTTTTAATTCATGAATGAAACATGTTTACTATTTTGATTTACTGGCAAAAATTTAAACGAAATTCCCATTTTTTTTTTTATATTTGCATTGAGATGTTTCTTCAAAACGCAGTCCATATTAAGATCTTTAAAATTTTGATTAGAAATATGGTCTTTTTGCAAATATGGGAATTGGAAATCATCGCGTAAAACACCACAAGAAAAAAATACAATGCAAGCACATGCATGAACTTAAAGGAAACCCCATATAAAATGTGAAGAGAGAAATCATGCAAAGTACCGGTATAAATGTAGTCTGACCTTTCGTGGTCAAATAAATGAGCAAAATGAGAAAAAGCTGCCCCAAAGGGTAACACACGCAACAACCCCCCCCCCCCAAAAAAAAATTAACAAAAATAAGACAACGCTAATTATTAATCACACCTCAAAGGGTTTTCACTACAAAACACAACAAACCACTTCAAACCAAACTCATCTACAGAACACCCCTTCATTTAAATGGACACTTCCTTTCACTTTTCCAAAAAAAACCCCTGAACTGCATTCAGTGAAAAGGTGAACAAACGTTTTAATAATTATCTTGCTAAAAACCATTCCAAAATCAAAATCAACTTTTTCTCCCCAACAGTGATCCAATTCATTCCATTTCAGCAAATTTAGAATCCAAATTATAGAAGGTTGCAGAAAACATCCCCATTTTTGGATGAGCCAATCTTCATCAATTGTGCACGAAGATTGGATTTTAATAATGTCGGAAGTGTCCATTTCGTCAGAAAGGGGTGCCTATAAAATCTTCAATGCCCCCATCTTGCTTTTCCTTTCGACAAAACAACTAGTATACCGAGTTTAGTAGCAAGTGTTCCTTAATTTGAATTCTTCAGTTTTATAGACACTGCCAATTCATCAAAATATTTTGGGAAAGCTCATAACTAAAAAAGAACCTTGAAAAATTGCAGTTCAAAATTGGTGAGAAAAACACAATGGCACCAGACTATGACAGATTTGGAAGTTGCACCTTAAGTTTCTCCAAAATCTTTTTGATGGGTTATAATGTCGTCAAACAGGGGAAATTACTATGTTGAATACATGTAAGTACTTGTAATCAGTCTTATTTTTTTTGTATACCAGACATTATTTTTCTAATCAATGATTATTCTGTTATGCACTAAATATTTGCTTCCAACAGTCTGGTACCATATGACAAACATGGATTGAACACTGTGATGTGACTGGGTACTAGGCCAGTTGGCCAATGTGTGGAAAATTCTTCGACAAAGCTAATTTCAGTAAAAGCTGGGGGCATTAAAAATAAACGCTAAGCAATGGTTGGGGAGGGGTTAATCAACTTAAAAAACGGGGAGGGAGAGGGGCCATTTTTGTAACAGTTTCTTGTAGAACTGTCTTCAAAAAAATGTGACTGCAGTGAAGAACTTTACCAGCAGAAATTTGTGTAGAGGAAGTTTACAAAATTGTTCATCATAAATTACATGAATGAAGCAATTTGCCTCATGAAAATCGTTTTTCATTTTGTTCATTTTTTTTCTCCCAGGAATGTGTGTCTGATTTTTTTTTTACAATGTCACACAGCTTTTGAAGACAATTCTGTCCATACGTTACAAAAATGGACCTGGGTGGTAGGGGGAGTAGGAAAGGAATCAGGTTCGGGTGTGGGTATGGGTGGGGTACAGGATTGGTAGGTGTAGGGTAGGGGTGGGGTAGGGGTGGGGTAGGAGTGGCATAGGAGTGGGGTAGGAGTGGGGTAGGGATGGGGTAGGGTAGGGATGGGGTAGGGTAGGGATGGGATGGGTAGGGGTTCAAGTGGGATAAGCTGGGAATCCGATTGGAGAGGGAAGAGCGAGGGGTTTGGGCAGAGATGGAGAGGGTAGGAGAGTGGGGAACGGGTTTGAGTCAGGGAGAGGGATGGGTGAAAAGTGGTCAAGGGTGAGAGGGTCAAGGTTGAAGGGTCAAGGTGAGAGGTCGAACCGGTGGATTCAGGCAAGGGAAGGGCGAAGGAAGGAATTTGAACGGGGTGGCCTGGAACACAGCAGGGCAAAGGGTAAGGATTGGTGGGAATAAGGTATCAGAGGGGGTGGGTGTAAGAAATTAGGGGTAGGGAAACAGGGTGGGGGTTTGGGAAAAAAAGGGGTGGGAACAGGGTTTTAGGGTAAGGGGCGGGGACAAAAACGTAAAATAGTGCATACCAAAGAGGGTAAAGAGAGCCTGAGGTGTGACCAGCTATGCGACACGTGTAGAAGGCAGAGGTTGTGAGGGCGATTACAGCGACAACATGACACAGAGGAGGCGGAAGAGAGGAGAGATATGGAGAAAGAGAGAAAAACAAATCAACAAATTTGTATCACAGTTGATTTTTTCTCAGGTTATCATTAGCAGGGTACGGTATGTGTCGTGTCGCCTAAATATCAATATACAAAAGGACACTGTATACACTTTGTGTAACAAGGAATTTTCATAATGAGGAATCCTTCAGGATAAAAGGATACAAAAAAAATTAACATTGTGTCAGAACAGAAATGTTTCTCATTTGGACAGTTTAAATAAAATGGCTGTGGGATGGGATAAAACTCTTTTTAACCCCATGCCTACGGGAAGCAGTCATGGCCGGCGGCCGCTAATCCTCATTGGAATGCAGTTGCCAGCTGTGGTATGCCGTGGCACAAGGCTAGTGGGTAGTTCCACAGCTGCTGCTTTTGTGCAGTCCCGCTACCACACAAAGGCTGTGCAGTCATGCGGGCCACTTGCTCTATGTGTGGAGGAATGTCCCCATTACACCCGTCCTTAAGGGGTTAATTGCTGGGGTTTTTTTTCTTTCAAATAAAGCACAAAGTTTAGTCAGGTTCCCTTTGTGGTTGATTTGAAAATTTCATCCTCTTTCAGTGATGGCCATAACTGTGCTATTTCCCATGTTTGAAGCACTGCTAATGTTGCTAGCAAATAAATAAACTCCACGAAAATGCTAAGGCGAGGCGTCATAAATAAATTAACCGTTCGCACGCGTGCGCACGCGTTCCTTCCCGTTCTGAACGGCCCCCGTTCCTTCCCGTGCCGAACGGCTTTTAGAACGCGTTCCGTAGATCGTGCTTGGGCAAGCTTCACTGAGGGGGTATTGTTATGTTAATCAACCGTTCCTTTGCGTGTGAGAACGGGAGCAGCACAACAAAGATGCGAAGAACAACTATGTGTATATACTTGTACAGAAAAAAATCCGTTTTTGTTTGGAATTTAAATCAGATTTGGAATTTGAAAACCCGATATCGGAGCAAGCATTAAATAAAAAAAACATTTCAGAGTTTAGACAGCACGAGCAGGTATGAGGAGTTTGATAAGATTTATGCCTTTTTATCCTTAAATATCGTTGTCTGCCGCTGGGCGGTGCGAAAAAATATGTATGGTCTAGGTTATATTAAAAATGCGGAGATTGGAAGGGTTAAAAAAATATTGCAAAGGACTGCTTTCCCCGTTCAAGGTGCCCGTATTTTTATACGTCCCCCCTTGTACTGTACGGGCTAGCCTGTAGCGACGAGAAAGTTTGTCGGATACTTTTAGTGCCGATGAGCTCTTCGTGTGTGCACAGACCGTGACTGGCCTTTTGTTGTATAAGAACGCGTTCGGAACGGGATGCCGTGAGCACGCGTGCGAACGGGAGGTAGATGTAACAAAAGGCCCCGTTCCTAGCGTGCGCACGCGTTCGAACGGTTAATTTATTTATGACGCCTCGCCTAAATTGGGAGATGAGAAACATTTCTGGCTCAACAAACTAACAAACAAACACAAAAATCACAAATCCAATTTGTTTCTTTTCAGGTTTTTCAAATTATATTGCAGTTTGGCCATATTCTTAAGGGAAAGGCTTAAAAATGTGGGGAAAAAAACAACCGAACAAAGCAAACTATACTGGAATTAAAAACTAAAAAAAGTAAATGAAGCCTCGAAAATCATTAAAATAAAAAAATTTGAAACAGGAATGAAAATCTACCAATCTGAAAAAGAAAATTAAAAATATACTGTAGCTGAAAAACAAGACCAGTCAAAAGATGCAACTACAAGCTAGAAGGCCCCCGAAACCCTTGCATTCTTATTGTCAAGGGAAGCCTTCAAAGTCTCCGGAAAAATCAAGAAACTAAAAGAGAATGGGAAAAAATATCAAACAAGAAAACCCGACTCTGGAATTTAAAATTCTACAAAAAAAAAAAAAAACAGGTTACGGTACAAAGAAGAATGTCTGGTTTTATTCTGGGACTTTTTTTTTTATATTATGATTGTTCTGTATTTAATAGTTGGTGAAGCTTTTCAACATATTCTGAAAAATCTGAAAACTACATCAACCAATACAGGGACATGGTAATTAACTTAAGATTTGAAACTCGGCATGGCGGTAGTGTAAACTAGCGAGGGTCTACGGTTAACACCACATAGAAGAATCTCTTTTGAGAAGATGAGGTGTGGTTCGGAAAAGAACCGGTTGGTTGTGAAACTCGACGTTCCGATCAGTATGCTCTGATCATCTTCAGGAAAAAAGGCAAAAAGACATGGTAATGGTGGAATACGGTAGGCCTGATTCAAGAGGAAGCCATTTTAGAATTGTGTTCCCTGAATCTATTTTATAAATTGTAAACTGTTGAATGGGATGGTGCCAGACTATTTGGTGATTGGAGTGTATTCGAAGCCTCACTTTCATTTTTTGTAGCTTAAAACATTAGGGTTTATTTAATCTCAAAGTTAAGATTATTCATCAGAGCAGATTGGTATTAATTTATAATGAAATTTTATTTCATTGCTTTCATTTCTACTCGCAAGTTCCAAAAAATGAGTTTACCTCACTTTCAACTGAATATGGCCGACTCGTGAATAAAGTATATTGCCATCAAATACGTACTATTCCACAACAACTTTTTTCTATTTTGGCATTTCAAATATTTTATTTTCTTTTTTAAACGAAACTTTCTTTTCAAGCATTTTGAAGTGGCAATTGACATCAAATTCTAATTTAAAAAAGTGTTTGGACGCATATTTTCAGAAAGTGACTTATTTTCTGTCCAAGAATCTTCTCTAGGGACCCTTTAGTTATATTAAAGGAGTACATGTACATGTATGCCTCAGTCTGGCCTGACCCACTGCAGAAGGCCATCAACTGAGTCGGGAAGGCCAGCCAACTGGGTTTGGGAAGGACGATCAACTTACTTCCGTGTTGAGGTTGCTGACCAAGAGTACTGGCGTTCCTTGCATGTTCTGCATTCCCTGCATTCCCTGCATGCCCTGCATGCCTTGCATGCCCTGCATGCCGTGCATGCCGTGTAAGCCTTGCATTGCGAGGGTGTTCTGGAAACGGAAGGCCGCAGCCGCAGCGTTGTGCTGCAAGTTGCCGCCGATGAAGGCACTGCCAAGACCTGGGACTGATGGAGAAATGAGACCATGGAGGGAGGGGAAAGAGTACAATTCAGGATGAATCAGTGAACCAATTCCTGCTGAAATCTCTGAAAATAAATCTTGTCCTGTTGAATTTTACATGTAAATTTCTTCACACGTCTTGGTTTGTCCTTTGACAATTGTTAAACATAATGGTGTTTAGTTACTGGGTTTTTTTTCAAAATATGAATTCAATTATTAAAGGGAATGTACAACATTTGCTTTTGCTGCAATTTTCAGAAATAAATGGATTTTAGAGGATTAGTATGTTGTAGCAAATGTTTTTAAACTAGGCTTATTTCACATTTTGGGCTTGTAGATGCTGGAAAAACCAAGAAAACCAATCATGTTCTTGTAGTCTGGTTCCCTGACCCCACTTAAGATGAAACGGAGCAATTTATAGACTTTGGAAATTGTAAGGTCAGAGAATCAGTCTGGCAGGCTTGTACCCCTTCACAGGTGTGTAATCAATAGCAAAGAAAATGCGGAACACCTAAATATGAAAAATGCGGAGCAGTTTTTGAAAAAAAGCCAGTTTTCTCCAACACTGGTCAGCCGACCAGTGTTGGAAAAATGCAAATTTTCTTGGAAATGTCAGCACACCAGGAGCCACGATTGTACAGGATGCTTTAGACTGTCATTCCCTAACAATCCAGAATGGTCTTTCGTGATAAATCGATCATTTCTTTTTTTTATGTTTGCAAATGTTGTATCTTCCCTTTAATAATGAAAACTTCCACCTCTACTGATTAACAAAGGTGACACCGGCACTACAATAACTGAGTGAGTGACTTAAGTCACAGTTCCTGCCATAGTTACTTATCGAGTAAATTCAAATTCATGGTGACACACTTTTAATAAATAAGGAGATTCCTTATGCTAGGCTCACATTCCAGACTCTAAGAAAAGGAAAAAGCAAAGAGTGAGATTCTTAAAAACACAACAGAAAGAAAAGAAAAAAAAGAAAACAAAATCAAACATAGAATGGCAACAATGATGTGAGTAAAGGTTTTGAAATGAAACTGGCAATTCTGGATCTAGGCGGATCAGTCGAGGTGGATCTAAGTGCGCTTCAGCCAGAAACTACTGCCGACAAGTCCGTTACTGGTCCATCACAAGTCAATCCCAGTCCGGTCACAAGTACGTTCACAAGTCCAGTCATAACTTAGTATAAACAGGGGATGAACAATGACAAAGGATTGCCTGTGTCACGGTTCATTTGTATAACTTGTGACTTGAATTGGGACTGGAGGACTTGTGATAGACTTGTGATAGACTTGTGAGTGGACAGAACCTTCAGCGCCCACCCACTGCAGTTTTCTTCGACGTTTTCAGAATGCATTTTCTAAACAAACAAAAACAGGTGAGTATTCCATGTCTAAATACTGAAACAGCTCCTCGATCCACCACCACCCCCAAAAAAGAAGATACACAAAGCGGCAGAGATGAAGCTGAAGAAAACAAGAGAAGAGACGTACTCCCCGAAGCACATTGTCTGATACAATAGTGAAAAGAAAGCAGTGAAGTTATTCCGAAAAAAAACCACCAATCAGCACCAATTGCTTTTTGGGTCAAGCTTGTCAAAAAGTTATAGTTTTAGGGGGAACTTTTTTTTGAATGGTGAGGTGAATGGATTGTGAAAGGTGCTGCGGTCATGAAAAGGGATCGCTGATTAAGCAACAAAATAATTGAGTGGTGCTCTGTGCATTGGCTTTGTGGGGGTATTATTCAGAATTACATATCTCAACAAACTGTGACCTATTTCCCCAAAAATCTGGGGGGGAAAAGAGGGTTTTTATTGGTCGTCACTTCCAACGAACTGGAAGACCAACAATGAAGACCAACAATGTAATATTTTGCAGCCAGCAGGTTCGCATCCCACTCTAGCCAATTTTAGAATTACCAATAAATTTTCATGTTTCTATGCCTATGAAATTTCCTTTTTTTTCTTCTTTTTCAATTGAAAACGACAATTTTAAAACTTGATTTTTGAAATACTTCTTGCCAGATTCAAATTTGATTGTACATGTGTGTATCTCAAATGATGGAAACCCAATAGCTAGGAGGCAAAGTCATCTGTACTTGTGAGCAGGAGATCATGGGTTCGAGTCCTACCTGAGCAAAGTTTGCAAATTTTCAGGAAGAGGTCCTTAGAAAGCCCTGCACGTATGTACTATGCTTTTGGCATTAAGTGAGTGCAGGGTAAAACTTGGTGTTTGGCGTCACTCAAATTTCGAGGATTAAAGCTTGTGTTTTTAATTTCCACTGACTAAACGTTTTTATAGGAAAATGGTCAAAACGCAACACTTTTCCTTTTTTTAAATGCAGTCGGTGAGCATCTTTGCCAGTAACAGATGGTGGATGCGACACTCCAGTCAATCTTTGGTTCACACGAGATGGTGTGGTGTGACAAAATGGTGTGAGCAAAAACGCAAACACATGGACCATAAAGCAAAATTGATTTGTGGTTTAACACCTATGATATAGCAGGTGATGTAAACATTATAACACAAACAATTTTTTTGACTGATTTCTTTTTATTTAAAATTATCAATATTTATATTGTCAGTTTGTTAATAGGAACATGCAAGTAGTAAGTGGAACAATGCAGCATTTACTAAAGGCCATGATGTGTTAATCAAATATGACCACACTCTTATGGCATTTGTTTATGCCACAAAAGGCAAATTGAGTTTGGTTTCAATCAACTATATCCCACAGAATTTCATGAAATCATTTGATACAATGTACTTAAATTATTGTTTAAAATATAGATTTCACACCTTTTTGTTTTAAATACAAAAAGTCTAACGTTTGTTGTATTTCACCGATACTTGTTGGACTCAAAAATAAAAAAAATAGGGGGATGATAAAAAAGAAAAAAAGAAAAAACATCGCCGCCGACTTAAAAAGTGAGAAACCCCGTGAAGTACAGTGGTACCGTCTAAAGGACACATAAAGAAAAGCAGAGGGTCATTCCACAGCTTAGAGATAGGGGTGAGGACACTAAGAAAAACAAAATTCCGAGGAGAGAACCAGAAATCCAAGATTTGAAGTTTTTTTGCCAGAATCGCCACGATAGGGACAGAATCAGAAGCCGAGAAAAGTTTGAGAACAAAGCCAGGAAGGAGAGAGAGAAAATACAGCTTCTGAAAAATTTGGTGTTTTTTCTTGTTTTTTTGTTCTTTCTTTCGTTTATACCTGCTGCCGTTGGAAAGCCCGCTAGCGTGGCCGCTGTCGGACTAAACGGCGACGTGCCCAGCGTGGCCATCTGTGTCAATGCATTAGGCATCATCCCATGTCCTAAGTTAGGAGGGAGAAAAAAATACGCGAACCACCCCGAAGATTATCATTGGAGTTAATCGAGAAGTTAACCAGAGAGAAAAATTCATCCGCATTTTATAAGGAAAAAAATAATAAAACAATTGGAAACAAGAACCAGAGTGCCAAAAAAAAGGGTTATTCTGCTCAGATTTTCATATTTTTTTGGTATGGAGTGATTTTTTTAACTTAAATTTACGGCTGAAGTTTGAGGAAAGGGGGTAATTATGAAGAAATTTAATTTGGGTGGGTTTTGTAAAATGGGCTTTTTTGAAAGCTAGATTTATCAGCACAATCATCAAATGTTATTTTAAACAATTCATTTTTTATCAATTAATGTTTTCCATGCAAAATGGCATATGGAAAATAAGTTTACCATGGCAGACAGAAATCTACGGAAAGAACAACTTTTTGAATTTTCAAAAATTGTTTAGAATTAATTCCATGCATTTTTTTAGAAATATACCGAGGACAAATCATAAAACAAAATAGTATGACGAAGGAAAACATTTGGAACCAAAACCTGAAAGTTGATAAAAAAAGTTTTTTTAAAAGAATTCCAAAGTTTCCAGTGCCAGACAAAAATGGATTGTGAGTTCTTATGAAAAATAATAAAACAAAACTGGTGAGAATGAAGTGAAACATATTAGGGTGAGGAATAAAATAAACTAAATGATGAAATGAAGCATGCTAGCTGCAAGGCACCTTTCGCGACTCACCCATGCACTATGTGAGTTAAATTTGAATGAAATCTGGTACCATGACTTGTTACAATTTAACATGTCAATTCTTAGTCAGAGCATGAAGTCTCTAGTCTCTGGATAATGAAATGGACACCAGACACACAGACATCAGACTTTTCCAGATTTAGAAGTTGCTGACATAAGGCATTAAAAGGGCCCAATGCAATGTAAAATGTTTCAATACAATCCTTGAAAATGAACCTTTCTGCCCCATTTAACCTTATTGTTCAATTTTTATTCAAGGGTATTTTGGTGCCTTTTTTCATTGTTATGCTAATGCCAATTTTCGTATTCATGAGCAAAAGTGTGATGTCATTTCGGGCAGACACCTCAATGTTACAGTTATTTCAGCGCCAAAAGTTGCCAGAATTTTGGATATTTTGCGGTTGTAAATTGTCTTTTCTTTGGCGATTCCTTGTTGTTTTAAATACATGGCAGTAAGCCAATGAGCAAACTTTTCTCACAGGTGTTTTCAATGAGCAAAGTTTTGGGTTCACAATTTGATCAGAAAACCCCCAAGCTGAACAGTGTCGTCCTGAAATGACATCACAGCAACAGCGCTCTCAGTTGTCCGGAAAAGCACGGCATTTAAAAAAAAAAAAGTTTAAATGAGAGCACTTTTCAATGAAATAAATCAAAAAGGAATGTCAAATAGTTTTCATACATTTAAGAGGAGTAGAAAGTTACACACAAAAAATGCTCTCAAGTAAAATTTATGTCATGAGCCCTTTAAGCCAATTCCTGATGTAGCAACAGAATGCATTGAAGTATTCTGGGGAATTCAAATATGAGTAGTTGAGTATAATAAACTTTTAGGCTGCGACTACGGCTTGCCTGAATCTATCTTCCTTAGATGTACACTACTGCTAGCCACAGTCAAGTAACGCAGTCACAAGATTTGTTTGTAAAGGCATCATTCAAGTTTAACTCACATGTACAGCTTATGGTTAGCAAGCTTCTTAAAATTCAATAAACACCACCATAGCAAAATGTAACTATAGAATGCATGTCTAAACAACAGGACCAATAAAGAGAACAATTGCAACAAGTGACAATATTAGGCAGTTCCAGATTGGAAAGCTGCATATAACTCCCTTACAATGAAAAATTGGAAGAAATGCATTGTACCCGAAAACCTATTATTATTAATGTAGCACTTTTCTGAAGTGGAAGTTAACGAGAAATCAGAAGGCACATTCAACATGCAAAAACATGCATGTGACCTGACTGTTCAATTGACTGGTTTGGACTGGTTCAAAGGGTTTTGTAAAAACCTAGGCATCAAGGAATGAATGACTTATTTTTCCCCCTTTTTTTGCAACTCACTCATTTTTAAGGTACGACTGAATGGGTCTAGAGGAACAAAAGGATTGCTGAGCACCCAGAATTTACGTTTAGCAGAAATGGCAGCCAGTCTGAAGTAATGTGTACCACTTTTTTTGGTGGGGGATGAGAGCAACTCAATATTTTGTGCAGTTTTTTTTTCTTCTGCAGAATGAAACTAGTGCATAGAGATATTGCAGCTGATATTTTTTGCCAAGCGAGTACATTTTTCGGGGTGGGGTGGGGTGGGGTAGGGTGGGGGTTGGAATGGGGCTGATGTGAGGAAGAGGCAGTGTTGTAGTTGAGTACTTTTTTCTGAGTACCGAGTACTGCCGAATACTTAGGTTACAGAGTAGGAGTATGAGTACTTGTACTTCCGAGTACAAGTTCAGGTCTCCGAGTACGAGTACCTGTATTCTGAGTACGAGTATTAGTACTTCTATTTCCGAATACGGCCACAGCAAATGGTTCATTGTGCGTAATTGGCCCAGGCCAAGTCAGACCGATATACAGACCCACTCCGGCTAGCTGTTCAATGTGTTTGTCTGGTCGTGCACAGAGAAAAATCAGGAAATTTTGATTTCTCTGCAAGCCAATCAACCATTTCCAACTGAAAGTATCGATAATAAAATAAGGCCGGGGTAAGTCAAGCTATACCATTTGAAATTTTTTGTGGAGTACTGCTATTTGAGTACGAGTGCCTTGATGATCGAGTACAATTTTGACATGTCCAGTACGAGTACTTTGCTGCCCGAGTACGAGTACCGTCATTTCGAGTATGCGTACTTTGTCATTTCGAGTACGAGTGCTCTAAAAAAAAATACATGAGTAGTACTTTGAGTACCGAGTACTACAACACTGGGAGGGGGTTGAGGTATGGGGGTTGGGGTGGGGGCTGGCTGGGGTTGATTGGTGGGGTAGGGTGGGGTGGAGTGGAGTGGGGGTTGGGTGGGGTTGGGTAGGGTTAGGGTTAGGGTGGTCATGATTTCTGCCTTACCCCCTAATCCTGCCAACCCATCCTGGGCACCGATACTGTCCCCTGTTGGCAGATCTCGGGTGTAGTCCCGGCTCTTTTCGTTATTGTACTTGACCACCAAGGCAGGCAGCTTGGAGAACTCAATGTGCAGGGTACAACAGGCATTGTAGATATTCTGTCCATCTAAGGCCTAAAGAAAAAAAACCAAAAAAACATTGATTAGGGCCTACTTATTTTCTCTCTCTGGTTTACAGATGATGTAGTGACAACAGAGGCAAATTACATAGAGGTGCTTAGGTACAGAAACTTGCTACCTAATCAAGATAAAACTCACGGACACCCAAGCAATGACAGAAGCATTGAGCAAGATGACAACTATTCCAAACAATGGGTCTTATTCTTGAGCAGACGAGGGCCGCTGAAACAAAGTTATTTGGGGGTTATAAAGAGACGTGAATCAGAGGTTATTGATGTACAATGTACATATGTACTTTGTAAGCTGACACACTGCATCAGCTCAAAAATGACCTTTCTACAATTTTTGATTTTTAACTTTACTAAAATGGGATTTTTTCCAGGGATTTTTCTTAAATGTTGGTACCCAAAATGTGGCAACCCACATCGCAAAAAAAAACCTATGTGAGGTGTCTGGCAGAACTGGGCAGAGGACAAAATGAGGGTTTGCAGGTATTAGGAAAGAGAATAAAATTCTCCTTACAATACTGTTGCACTTCACTTGGACATTCTCTTGGTTGTTTAAAGTTCACATTTATCAACATGTCAATTACATACTTCAACCCTACCCCTACCTACTTCATCAAAATCCATCCCACCATTTTTGGGGGATTTTGGCAGATAAGCCATGTCTACCAAGTCCATCAAAATCCACCAGCACCAATCATGCCTGTGGTGGATTTCAACAGATTTGGTCCTGAAGCATTACGTGAAGCCGAGTGAGTGATGAGATTTTGATGGACATGGTCTTCTACTTAGTAAAACTACATGTAAGTAGGGAGTTAGGGTTACATTTTCAAGTTTTGTCGAGATGCCAATTGTTTTTTCCTTACAAAAACACTTTGATTTAAAAAAAAAAATTAACACCATTTCTTTAAACTCTGTGAAGTAGACATATCAAAGATTACAATTACATGTAGGTGACAATTTCCCTCTCATTTGGACAAAATGACATCTATGACAAAAATGACAAATATAGAAAGGCAATTCAGATTGGAAATCAAGGACCAAAATAACCACGAACATTCCATTTCTTGACAAATACTTACACTTTTGGCCTGTGTTGCTTCACTGCTGTTGCTGAACTGAATAAGGGCCTGGAAAACATCTAAGCATTAAGAAAAAAATTGAAGAAGAGTTCGAATTAGTCTAGACTTTACATGTAATACAAGCTCTTGCACAATGGAAATCAATATTATTTTTTGATGTTTTTACTTCAGTACACAAAAATATCAAATAATTTCGTAAAATTTATAACATACCGTACATGTATCAAATAATTTAGTAATTATACGATATCAAATAATTTAGTACTTGATTATTCCAACTTAGACATGATCGAATAATCACATACTATATGTTTGAAATGCACTAATCAAGTTAAACATGTGCCAGCCGAAACTGGCCACTGATCTGGTTTTGCGTGTGCCTACACTTGTCGAAAATTGAGAGAAGAGCTTACTAAATAACATAGAGTACAGGTAGCAGAAAGGCTGATATTTGACCAATTTTAAAGAAGAAATTTGAGCTACCGGTACATGTACTATTCCTCAGGGATTAAACGAATAATTTCCATGCTTAACATATTTTTGTGCTTAGCTCAGAAGAGAATTGCTCAATAAAACCATGTCACCAGCCAATATCTCATGTCATGTATATTGGTGTTGGCCAGTACTCCGTCAAGTTTCAAACAGCACAAACATTTTCTAGACTTTCGGCAAGTAATTTTTGCGCCAACTCACTGTTTTTGGTGAAGGTGACGATCTTGAGCACCGTGCCGTACTTGGAGAAGATTTGGTGTAATGTGTCCACGTTGACCGGGTAGATCATGTGCTCGATGACGGCCCGCAGGACGTGCTGGGGTCCACCGGGGCTGTCGGCTACCTTATGCAGGTGGCTGCTTGAGAGCTGGTGTTGGGGCAGGAGGGCATGGGTGGCCTGCAACGCCGCCTGGGCCGCTACGCACTGTGGGTCACAACGGAGAAGGGATGCTCAAGATTAAGATAAAATATGAAACACTGCTGGCCTGCAACGGTGAAGCTGCCTTTCCTTAAGTGCCATGTCAGTCTGTTTTGTGTACACTGCAAATCTAGACCTGCGGACTAATGCAGCAAATGCAATAAGAAGCCATTGTGGGCTCCGTGCACCAACAGTAGATGACGCGCTTTGTGACACTTTCGCAAACCCCAGTGGGAGGGACACACAGGGTGTGCGCACCCAAACGTGTTCACACCGTCGATCGTGGACGTCCTATTGTCCCTCTTTTGTTTGTACTCTAAATTTTTAGGAAGACTCCCATAGGTTTTGTACACGACCCCAATCGCGGACGCATTCTGGGAATCGTGGGCGATATTGTTCTATTTTGTTCTCTGGAATTTTTTGTCCACGGTTTGAATAGATGAACACGCCCACCGGTATGAGCGTACGTGTTCATCTTTTCAAACCGTGGACGAAAAAAAGGGTCGTGTACAAAACCTATGGGAGTCTTTCTTAAAAGTTAGAGTACAAACAAAAGAGGGAAAATAGGACGTTCATGATCTACGGTGAACACACGTTTGTGTGTGTGCGTACCGGTACGCACGTGTATGGCCCGCCAAGTATGCGCAACTGATTTTATTGTGACTCTGAACACACCCAAGCTGTCTTTACGTCGGGCGCCATCTGCAATGCATTCGAATGTCCCTCCCAGTGGTCTCCCCCAACTCTCCCCTTTGAAATGTTGAGGGGGTACTTGTGCACAGACTCCATTGAAATGGCACCATGTTCACAGTTCACATGCTTCTTAAAGTTGATAAACAAGCACACTCTTGCAACCCTGTTGGTCAAAGGAACAGCGAGTGTGCAGCATGGTACCACCTCATTGACCCTAACCTTACCAACTCCATCAAAATCCATTCCCTCCACTTTGGTGGATTTTGGGGGACTTGGTCCTGCTGGCCTGGTTTGACTAAATTGTGATGGAGTATGATGGACTTGGGACTTGGGTATAATGCGCTGGGGAGGCCTGAAGCACTTCGGTGGGAGGGGGGGGGGGAAATCTGATTGATTTTGTCCCGCATACAGTACTGCTGTTGTCATATAAGCCATGTGTACTAAGTCCATCAAAATCCACCAGCACTTCAGTGGAGGATGTCATTATGTCATATGAAGCACAGTGAGTGCTGGATTTTGGTGGACATGGTTCTCTACTTAAGGACTGTAGGGAGTAAGGGTTAATGGCTTCCTGTTGAGGTCAACTGAATGAAGTCCAAAATACACATGGTGAAATTTCAGTAGGACATCAGCCAATTTCCAACTGTTTAACATACAATACATGTATGTGACCCCAATCAGCTCAGTCACATTTTTTACTGTGAGAGCATTAGAGGTTTTGACACTTCGCAAGTGACAGTTCAAACGTGATTGTGCTAGGGTAATTTTGTCTTCGCAGTTTTTATGACTACATGTATTTCGCCCTTTGTATTTACAACAGAATCAACTCCAAAACAGATTGAGAAAATGCACTTATGGAAAGGTAGCTTCATATACTAAAAAACATGAAAAATCATCGGTCGTCACACGAAGTGACGCATCGTGGATAGTTGCCGCACCACAAAGTGATGTATCATGTGCACAAAGTCCATAGATGGTCCGTCACACTGTGGCACAGCAAAAGTATCATATTCATCACTTGGTGGTGCACCCAACGAATTGACAAAACTAATTATAATTTTTTTTCCAATGGGGACCAGCAGATACTAGAGCAGCAGAAAGTATAAAAGTGGAAAATGAGGGTTTTGAATCTACATGTAGCTGTTGATATTAAGATTCGACAATATGACATGTAAAACAAATAACACTACCTGAACTCTTTTTTTAATGCAAAAAGTTTGTTTGAACTGCTTTGTCATCTTGTTCTTTACCAACTTACATGTACAACCCAAAAAAGTTGAAATCTGAAGTTGCTTTGGACAGAATAGTGAGATTCCAAGCCACACAATAGTTACACTCAGAAATTAAAGATGAAAATACTGTACATAAAAGATGAAAAAATTGAAAAACAGAAAAATACAAAGTGACACCAACAGAGACAGTGTTCTTGTCCAGAGAGCCAGGAGAGGAGTCGCTATCAGAAAGAAGACCCCCGGCAGAGGAGGGGCTGTTTAGCACAGCGTTGACAGCAGCCAGGGCAGCCTGTACCGCCACCGTCTACAAAGTGGGAGGAGTCAGAGAAAAAAAGAGAGGGCGGGGTTGGAGGAAAAGAAGGTATGGTTTGGGAGTGGAAGGCGTGGTTTGGGAGTGGAGGGTGTGGTTTGGGAGTGGAAGGTATGGTTTGGGAGTGGAGGGTGTGGTTATGGAAGGGTGTGGTTTGGAAGTACCGGTAGAGGGTGTGGTTTGGGAGTAGAGGGTGTGGTTTGGGAGCGCATGAAGGGTTTTGTTTTAGAGTGGAGGGTGTGGTTGCGTGAAATGACAGGGATGAGGTTAGAAGGCATTGTTAGGGAGTGGAAGGTGGCATTGGAAGCAAACAAAATATGGGTTGGGTAAAGTGAAAGGGGTGGGGGTTGAAGCAAATGTGGGCGGAGCAATGAGGATGCCATTAGAAGTGCAAGAGTTTGGTTAAAGGAAACAATGGCGGTACAGAGGAGGTGGGCATGGTTGATAAGCAGGTTGGATGACGGCGTGGTTTGAAGGAAGGCGTCACAAGAAGGTAGGAGGTAGGAGATGGAAAGTGGGTGGGGTTAGAGGGGCAGAGGAAGTGGGCGGGTAAGAAGGGAGTTAAGGTTGGATTGAAATGACAGAGTCAAAGAGAAGGTGGGATTAGCAAGAAGGAGTCAACAAGGGGGTGGAGTTAAAGGGGTGGGGTCAGAAAGAGGGTGCGGTTTGAGGGGAGGAGTCAAGGGGAAAATTGGGTTGAAACAGAGAAGTCAAAAGGGGTTGGTGTCAGGGAAGGAGGAGTCAAAAATAAGATGGGATATGGATGCAGGAGTGAGAATTATGAGGATCAAAACAATGCAAAGACGCCCAAAGAGGGTTGGGTCAGACACGGAGACAAGACATGATCATGAAGGGGGGAGGGGCATTGATGGGATGGAAGACATGCAATGAGATGACAGCATCAGAAGTATCAGATAGAAAATGTTGAGATTAAAAGAAATGAAGGCAAACCAAATGGATTGGGTCCATGACAAGAAGAAAACAAAATGACGATGGAATGGAATGGCGGATGGTAATTCATGACAAATATGTGTATTGTAGACACGATGAAAGGGGCACATCATTAGGCAGATGAGATGGAACATTTTGAAGGAAATACATCAGAAATAGAGAGGGAAAAAGGGGAAAGAAGACAAAGAAGAAAAGAAACAAAATATTTCAGATATTAAGAAACTGTTAAGTGCCACAGATGGAGTAAAGTCAAAGATAAAGTTTCAAAGTTTACTTTAATACACGTAAATACATGCATAAAACCCTAATAGTTATAAAACTCCGACCCAATTTTTAATTCAAATAATTTAACTGTAATTGAAGAGTAAACTAAAACCATCAACAAGCATTGACTCTAAAGGTTTTCTTAAATGAGTTTTCAACGCAACCTATTGAATGACATGTAAATCAAAGCATTGTATGTTGAAATCTCTTTTCTTTTTGTAATTTCCATTATTACATGTACCGTAAGTTCCAAAGATGCAGTGCGTATATTATTTTTTATCTTCAAGCAAACTTGTATCCTCGATCCTGATTGGTCGATCCATGGCAACAACAGTGTGATATGAGGCTGTATTGCACGGTCCATATCGTTCCCTGCGTATTGCACCATTCCAAGATGCGAGCGACATTCCAGCTGCATGCGCTTAACCGCTGAAAGGTTCGTGTAAAGCGATGGTCCAACTTTACTTCGCGTTAAGTTTGCTTGAAGATAAATTCGTTATCACGCTCGCGTTCGTGGAACACGGAAAATGTAGTGCGTCTGTGTCCCACATACCACTCGGCCTGCGGCCTCGTGGTATGTGGGACACAGACGCACTACATTATTCCGTGTTCCACTCGTGCTCGCGGGATAACTTATAATATTTCGCTACAAGTGGGATGGTTAATAGCTAGTACCGTGGCGTGATATTGCGACTTATAACTTCCCACACCGGTATCCTACAGGAACAATGCCACGCGACGGGGTTTGGGGATTGAAGGTGCAGGTGTTAAAAGGTAACGAATCAGAAATTGGTTTTCAATTGTAAAATTTAAAGTATGACCCAAGTTTAGTGCAATACACACAAATTTGTGAAATTCAGATAAGAATGAAGTAAAAACATTATACACACAATTTTATTGGGGAAATGGAAAATGGACAAATGTTATGAAGTTGTGAAGAATGTGAGATAGGGGCAGAGTTTATGTATTTGTGAGAGTTTGGGAGGGGCGGTGGAAAGGGGGAATGGCATGGTTGAAGTGAAAGGTAAATGTAGAGTTAAATAATAATAATGCAGGATTTGGGATAATTAAGATGGGGTAGTGTAGGGGTTTATATCAAATGAACGGAAGTTAAGCGAGAATTGGGCATTGATGAGAACAAAAAAATTGCAAACAGGATTTTGAAGGTTTTCGATGATTAGGAAGTGGTATTTGTGTAAATGAGAAAAAAAAATATGGAAACGAGGACAAGGAATGGGGAAAGACGAAAGGAGGGGATAGGAACAAGACGGAAGGAATAAAAAAGAGATGTTAGCACTCAAAAGCATTACAAATGATACCACAGATTTTTTCACAAGCAACATGATGCATACTTTAGTTTTTAATTTAGTTTTTAATTTATGTTGTTCACGTTTGATGGTACCCTTACATGTACTTTCCCTTGAGTTTTATATGGTTCACTTTCCACTTAAAATCTTTTTTTTTTAAATATGAAATGAGATTTTCATGTTCATTTAGAAACAAAGGACTGGGTATCTAAAACATCTTAAAATGAATAACGTAATATATTTAATCCAGTATTAATGCCAACAACTGCAAGAAATTTGCCTTTCATTATTTCGAAACGGTCAATATACGGCCCCATAATAATTGAAACGAATATTAAAAAATAGCCAGACTTCCCTTGCATGTACTCCGACCAAAAGAAAAAGTATTGGAATGTTTTTGGAAGATTTTACCATCAAGTTAGAGAATTTCAAGATGAAGATAAAGGAAGGAAACAGAAAAATCAACTACAAGTTTAGAAGAACGGAAGGAAAGAGCATGATTAATGCAAAACATTACATCATCACAATAACATGCAACCCAAAAAAAAATCGATTTAGTGAGGATGGTTTACATCAACTGTTTGGCAGGTTAACCCTAACCACCCCAACTCCATCAAAATCCATCCCCCCATTTTGGTGGATTTTGGGGGACTTGGTCCAGAAGGCCTGGCATGACTAAATATTGATGGAGTATGATGGACTTGGGCCTAATGGCCTGAAGCAGTGCTAGGGGTATCCGATTGATTTTGCCTAGCTTCCTGTACTGCTATTGTGATAAAAGCCGCGTGCAGCAAGTCCATGAATGTCAACCAGTGCGTCAGTGGTGGATTCCATTATGTCATGCACAGTTTTGTATCGGACGCACAGTGATTGATGGATTTTGATGGACTTGGTCCAGTTCCTAGTAACCGTAATGCTGGACTTGCTGGACTACCATGCACAGACATTCCTGACTGACTCAACAACACAGAGACCTTGTGTACGAAAACTAGAGTGTACATTTCAAGAATCCTGTAATTGTGGTGTTTTGTTCACGAAAACCTTGGAACAGTAGACCCATTGAGCGCAACGGTAATCAACAGCGACGCCCCTGGTTACAATTTGCGTTGTGTCCAAAGAAACCCTACATGTCCCGGTACATGTACATGTACGTGTAAATCCGAGACCAAGACCATCAATCAAACCCCCCGTGCACTGCAAGAACTGCTAGCTGCACCCAATTTCACCTTTCAAACAGGTGTTTTTCTTACCCTTTACAAGTCCGCGACTGCCGAAAAACGCAAACAATGGTACTAGCCGGCCATTGTGTTACGCCTCTCAAGAGGTTTTGTGTGCGCGATTTGTGTACAGTTCAGTTTGGGGGCCAGGATAAGTTGTTTTGACTGTCTGTCTGGGTCGGGACCACAGGGTCTGGTTGCGGGAGGAATAATTAGTCTGAGGGTATTCTGGTGGGCTTGTCGCATGGGGTATCCAAGGACCAAAGTTCGACAAACATACGAAGCAACATTTGCGACGGAGGGGGACCCCCCCCCCCTCCCTCCTGTTTGTCATTGTATTCACAGAATCTCAGGAATTTTTTTGAGATATATATAGGGGGACGTGATAGGTAACAACAGTCCCGAGTGGGTGTAGACCATGTAGCGTATAGGGGCACTGGGGGGGGGGGGCATCCTCAAATTATGCATGGTGTGAGTAAAAAGGCCTCATCAGGGCAAAACTCTGTTGAGTGAGACAGCTTTGCTTGCACAGTTTATAGCACAATTGTTAGTAGAAGGATAAAAAAGCGAAAAAACTATGCCAAAATATAATGAGATACATGTACGTTTCTTGAAAGCCATGAAACCTCAACATTTTCTATTCTTGAAGATGGAAAATGGACCCAATATATGGCAGGACATGTGAGTGTATAAATGTAACGTGCATGTTGGAGTAAAGTTGATTTTCAACATGATTGTGAACGTGAAAGTACATTTTTGGGATCTACATGACAAAGTACATTGAATGGCATTGCAAATTCACACAACGTACAATGTATGCAGTTGAACACGTTTCAACTCTCTGTGAATGTTTACTGATGTGAAATTCGCTTCCCCTTTGCTGCAGTACATACAATGTACATATACATTTTGTATAAACCAATCTTTACAAATGACTTTCATAACAGTCACAACTTGTGAAAATGGCCTAACAAGTCATAATTTTTGTGTGTGCATTCAATACATGAAAGGGTAATGAACTTGTCAAGCAAAGTTCAATGTACATTGTATCACAGGATCCACCGTAATTACAGTGCAATTTACATAGTACACACACATAATGACATGAATGCATTCATGTGCAAACACAAACATAGTGTAGGTGAGATTTCGCTTTGGAACATCCCCCCTCCACATTTGTGTAAAATCAAGAGTTCTCACACCCCCAGTAGGACAATCACACGTGCCCCTCCCAATATGAGTCTTAATCTTTCCCCCTGTTGGACCGATGTGATTAAAAAAGCAGCACCAAAGACTGCAGGGTATTTCGTACCGGGTTTGGTGGGGACTTCGGGTGACAATTTTGCCCTGTTGTCCCAGCAACCACTCCTATTTATGTACCACCCGAGCGTTACATTTTCACGGCTGGTAGTCGCGCCAAGTCAACACGACACCTACTCTCGCGGGGGACACGTCATACATGCTTAATGTGCTCAGGGACTGTCTGGCAATGAGCTGTCTTAAACTCTCCTGCTTTGACAACTTCTAAAGATTATTTTTGTGGAGACGAGGTTAAAGGGAATGTACAACATTTGCTTTTGCTGCAATTTTCAGAAATAAATGGATTTGGAGGATTAGTATGTTATAGCAAATATTGTTAAAATGACTTGTTTCACGTTTTGGGCTTGTACATTGTAGATGCTGGAAAAACTAAGAAAACCAATCTAATTTTTGTAGTCTGGTTCCCTGACCCCACCTAAAAATTAACACGGAGCAATTTATTGACTTTGGTAATTGGAAGGTCAGAGAATCAGTCGGGCAGGCTTGTACCCCCTCATAGGTGTGTGATCAATTGCAAAGAAAATGCGGAATAACTAATTATGAAATATTAGGAGCAGTTTTTGAAAAAAAAAGCCAGTTTTCTCCAACGCTGGTCGGCTGGTCGGCCGACCAGCGTTCGAAAAATACCATTTTTCTTGAAATGTCAGCACACCAGGAGCCACGATTTTACAGGATGCTTTAGACTGTCATTCCCTAACAATCCAGTAAGGTATTTAGCGATAATTTTATCATTTCGTTTTGTGTTGTTTGCAAATGTTGTATCCTCCCTTTAAAGGGGAAAATATGTTGTTAACCAAGCATTTCAATACAACCACGCTTAATAAATGCGTGAGATGATAATTCCTTGCCTACTTCTTGTCCCTTTAATGACAACACCTTTTGTTAGATGCTACACGACCCCATTCTGAGTACTGCCAGACCTAATGTACTTTGTATGTATAATGTATGTACATTTGTAATTTACAAAGGCAGGGATGTTTTATAATACCAGTAAGCGCCGGGATTATTTTTTTACGAAAATTACGATTTTTGAAAATGGCAAAATATCGCAAGAGTCATTTCAACAGTATTTGTACGATATTTCTTACCGAAACCTCACATTTGTCAACACTCCGGGGTGTGCAACATTATTTTTAAATGTGGCTTTAAACATTATAGGATATGTTTCATCACAAATTGTAAATTATTTATCAGAGCAGACTGGCATTAATTTGTAATTAACATTATTTCATTGCTTTTGTTTCTAGATGCAAGTTCCAAAAATGAAGATTTTTACCTCGCTTTCAGTTTAATATGGCTGGTTCGTGAATAAAGCGTAGATTTGTGGCTGCTACAGTGTATGGGCATTCCAGTTCTGGATGCTTCTATCAATTATGCTTACTACAGGATGAAATCTTTCAGATCACTTGTGTTTAATTGCACCCACAATAGGCGTACAGCCAAAATAAAGTGGCTCAAGTCTGTACATGGACCGCTAATTATGAAGCCGAAGAATGAACAAATGCAGCAATCCAGGGGCTGCAGCAACAAATGACCGTCTTCTTAACCAATGTGATGGATCACTTTCAGACTCTTCACCCCTCCCCCCCCCCCCAGACCCTTCTTCTCTTTCTGATATATATTGATGGAGGGCACATCTACCCATCAGTGAAGTCCATTAGAGATCCACTTCCGTGCATAAATATTTTAAACGGTGCTTAAAGGGTTTCACTAGTTTCCTGCTTCAAGGTCTACTGGTACATGTACATTTTTTTTAAAGACCGCACTTAAAAGAGACTTGATGACTCTTCATTTGTGGAAAATAGTGACGTGTATGCATGACCAATAACTATAGTACAGCAGACAGGTGATGGGATTGTGCCTTTGATGATGCAAGCATGGCATTTGGCACACAGTCAGAGTATGTCATGAGAAAGATATTTGGCTATAGGGCCATCGCAGATTTGTCCTTTGGAAAAAATATACATGTAGGTAGAATAACAAGCAAATAAGGCTGCCTTTTTGAAAATTTTGAAAATTGCTTGTTATTGTACACTGTACCATGTTTTTTTTGTAAGGACAAATCTGGCCCTATAGCCAACTACATCTGTATTTCTTTAGACATACTCTGTGTGCCAAATGCCATGCTTGTATCAATTACATACATGTAAAGGCACAATTCTTCCAAATATTTGCCCTATCTGCCCTACTACTAAGGCAGCAAATGGACTGACAGATGGAAATTTGACCTTTTTTTGTTAAATGTCTGAAAAGAGCTCAAGATCAGATAGATTTATCAGTAGTTGATCTCCTCAAGTGTAGGATCATTTAATTTTTGTGCACATTTTTTTTTTCATTTGAAGCAACAAAATTGCTCAAAATCGTAAGTAGGGTGCATAACAACTACATGTAACTTGTTAAAATTTCAACTCAGTGGATACTTTTTGGAATAATTGAACAGGGTATTTAGTACCAAGTCCTATCTTCACTTTGAGCAAGGATTTTATTGTGGCAAATGTCCCTACATGCCTTTAAGATTAATCAAAATTGTTCAGGAATCTATCAAGAACGGCGATATATTTCAGTTCACTGACAAAATTCAAGCAGTTTTCCCTTACAATCTTACTGCATTCTAAAGATCTGCGTATCCATGTCGTCAGTGTGCTTTATATTACCCAAGTTCTTCGAAACACTGACTCTAATTTTCCCGGACATTTTGTCTGGTCACCATGGCTACCATAGAGGCAATTTTTCACGCCATCCATTCATGAAAAAAAGAAAATCGATCCCAACTTTGTCTCTATCCAAAATCTTAAGTGTATTTGCTGTTGTGGTCGTGCGTCAAGTGCTAACGCCGTCTTAAACCCACTTGACATTATTCAAGCACATGCAGAGCTCTGTAATAAGAGCACACCACTTGGTACACTTGACATTGGGGCCTGCCCCAAGAGCCTTAAGGCAATGCTGAATCTCATTTGGAACATTAACTTGCTTCTCCGAGAATGGAAACTAACCTGAACTGTACATTTACATGTATAGTTCCCAGCCTTCATTTCAAAAACAGCTCAAATTACCGATGCAACTTGGCCAATAACCAGCGCATTTGGAATTCAAAGTGTTTGATTTTGAATGGGGGGAGGGGGGGGGGAGTGTAGGTCTTTAAAGTTTAGGGGGATTAGGTCAAAGTTTCTTTTCAAGTCAATCTCTTTGGGAGTTCACAATGAATGTGAACATGTCTTGCATACTCTGAAAGTTCGTAAAAGAAAGTAAATTTTCCGGTTCGATTCATCTAAAATTATCGTGGCTAGCCGAACGAGTTTATAAAAGAAGGCACTCCTGATGACCATGAACTTTGATTAGGCACTAGTTTATACCGAACCCGCTGTGTTGAACAAAAAGAATTCACAGACAGAAAGTAACTGCCCTGAATTGGATTTCCAGTTCACTAGATTCTGAGAAACTCAACAAAAAAATTCCCAACAACGTTTTTTTTCTTAATTCAACTTCATTTAACCCATTGAAAAATGACCTCAAAATGGACATGTAAGTACCGCAAAAAGAGCAAAAATCATTCGATTGAATAACCCGGTGCATACACGTACATGTACATATAGAGCGTAAAGCATAATGGTCCAATAATTTTGAGCCCCTCGATGTATTTGCATGAGTGCATCTTTTACAAATCGACCAGACTCGCGGGCTGAGTGTTATTCAATCGCAACTTTCAGGGGAAAGCCACTTGGGGAGCTCAAATATCAACCCCTAGAGACAGGTACGTAGCTGCTCACGGGGAGTTAAACAAAAAAAGCCGCTACGGGGGCTGATATATTACATGTAATACATCACGGCTTTAAGGTCCATGCGTATTCATTTGAGAAAGGGGATATGTTATGAAGTTTGCCGCAAATGCTCTGTGACATCAAATTAACTTGGTATTAACATTTGCATGAAGTATTGAATGAAACTGCTTTTTTTTTTTTGGTTAGATATTACAAAAAGATATCATTTCAGAAAGCAGGGGTGAGGCTGAAGCATTACAGATTACAAAAAATGTACTTTTTAGCAATATGTTTGGATGGGAAAACTAAATGTCTGTGAGATTTCTAACAAAATATGGAAGCAATTGGATTAGATTGATTAGATTGACTTTGCGTTGGGGAGATGTAAATTCAATGTTGGCATTTGCCCTTCACCAATGTACGTGTACCGTATTTTATAAAAAATAAATACAGTGTTGTCCAAGGACTCGCAAGAAAAAAATCGGAAGCTCACTCGGGTGGGACTCGAACCCACAACCTCCTGATTACTAGTCCAGACGTCTAACCACTCAACCTCTGAGCTGGTTTAAAACTATTACAGCAGTGGTTACCGTAACAAAACTATTTATCAGATGGAAATATTGCACAGCGGGGAGCGGTTGGCTAGTTGGTCTTGAAAAATTTTTGGAAGGCTATAGCCCCCAACCTTTTTTATAACTGTACATGCCTGTAATCACTTAATCTTGTTGCACAATCAATTTATTCTTCAATTTGTTGAAATAATGTAATTTTCTTCCAATATATTATCCAATAATGGAGCTTTTTCAAAGGAGTGGGCTCGAAAGCACATTTACAGCCGCCGCCTTTAAGAAGACTTAGCTATGATTCTCCTGGCCATTTGCCGCGTCAACGACCACTCCGTTCTGCACTCTCGTATCTTCCTTCTAAGGGGTGTGAATCAATTATGAGCTAGTGACACTACCGTTCAGGGAAGATAAACACGGCCTTACCGTTACACTGTGCGGTCTTTTCCGAGGGGAATAAGCACCACACTCGGTTGCTGCCAAAATGACATTAAGACTTAAAACCTGTTTGCGAGCCCATGCAAAAATTATAATTCCTGAGTTTTTTGGGGGGAAGAAGGGTCAACATCCATTTAGGTGTCTCAGACATGTGCAGCATCCACTGTAACCCAGGTTTTTAAATTTTAGTTTGTTGGTTGGTCTGTCTGTTCATGTTTGTTTGTTTGTTTGTTTGTTTGTTTGTTTTTTTGATTTTTGGGAGGATTGGGTTGGTTTGGGATGGGGGTGGGGTAGGGTCAAGGGAAGGGAATGGGGAAAGAGTTTTGGGGATTGTGCAATGGGAGGTATCCCACAATTCATGTCCATTTCCATGTCAAATGCCAACTTGCAATTCTGCCAACTTAGTCAACTGTACGAACACAATGGATGTATCTCAAACTCTTGGGAAACAAAAGCTCAATAAGGCAATCATCCAATGTTCAATGCCGACAAGTTTCACATACATGGACATTTACATGAGGTGATGTGTTGTTCTTCGCCGAATTTCAACCTAATTTTTTTCCATAAACAATGTAAGCCAAGCTATATTTTTTTTTAGTAAGTGAGGCATACAAGGGCAGCAGAGATGACCTACATTTGTGCATGTCAAGGGTTCGGCGAAACACGTACATGACTTATCAAAGGACGTTAGGCTGACGGAATTCCTACATGTACTTATTCTTTAAAAGGTGGCCCCCTCTAAAGTTTTCTAGCCAGGTTGGGTACTCCAAATGGTGTACCCTCTGACCCTTGATGCTGACCTCTGACCCTTTTGACCCACCTGATGTGCTGGGGAGTTATCTGTCTTCAGTTCCTGGTGGTCAGAGAACTGGACAAAGACCGGCTTGCCGTGAAGGTTTGTCTGGACCTGGTTGTAGTAGGCAATCATCTTGGTTGATTGGCTGACGTCCGCTAGCTCTATGAAGGCCTGAAAAGAAAAGAAAAGAACAAAACAACATCACAGTAATGAAGAATAATTAACCCTAAACTTTCTCAATCCTCCAAAATCAAGAATTGGATTTTGGAGGATTAAGGCTAAATGGCAGAAAGTGTCAGTTGAGTTTGGAGGATGCATTGTTTTGAATTTGTTGGCCGTGTCCTGCATTGTTTATGTTCAGCCATGCGTAATTGAGGCCCATATCATACTGAATATCATCCGCACTGCTCTGGACATCATCCTCACTGCCTCGAGTCGGAGTCGACTTTAGAAATTGTGACGTCATTTCGATAAGAAGTGTGGACTAAGCTGTTGATTGATTTTTTAGTACAACAACAGGTACCGAAGACCCGATAGAAGGCGCCCGCAGAATGGTCTGAATTTCAAGGTCAAGACGTAGTCTTGTTTTGCATAATTAATCGCCACATCTGCTCGCATGTTATAGACCCTTGCTATGCAAGGGGATATTCCATAGACTAGGTATGAACCTGCGACCTCTGGATTGCCATTCTGGTGCTCTACCAACTGAGCTATCCCAACCCTACGATGGCGGTTCCCCATTTTGTCAATATTTTTGTTCAGGGGTGCCAGAAGCAATACACCCGTATATGCCATGTAGCCAGGGATCACACTCGAGCTCAAGATGCTAGCAACATTTGCCACGCTGCAAACCTGGGAAATACCGGTAGCAAACGGGGATCATTCAAAGAGGACATGGCTTTTTATTACGAAAGTTTCAAATAAACCAAAAAGGGAAACTGACTAGGTGCATTCTATAACAAGCTCAATCGGAAATATCTCGGAAGCTGCAGGCCAACAAATTCGTGTTCATGCATGAGTCACGTGATTGTGCCATGTAATTTCTGAAAGGAGTAGTGTTTTGAGTAAAGGAAAATCAGATTTTTGACCCCAGTGACCCCAGTTTGGTCATGTGACATGTTGGGGCTGGGCTTCTGATACGTTTAACAAAGTTTGGTTGAAATCAGTCAAAATATGTGGGAGCCATGTAGACAATGTCAACATTTGTTACTACATGTAACTAACTGACTAATTGAGAGATATGATGAATTTGTTGAGCTGCTATCCCGCAGCTAAAAATAATCATACATGTACATGTATTCTGGCGAGGCTAGCATTTTCCAACAATGGAAAATTTGAAACGTGACATTTTGGTTGATATAAACCCATATTTGCTTAATCAGATATCGTCCGTGCTTAGTAGATTTCTGCAGCCCCTTGTAAATATCCCTCTTGCTCCCCACGTACCTGGCCTTTGTTTCTGATGCACAGGACTTTGCTGATGTTGCCAAACGGCGCGCCTAAGCTGACCACCTCGGCCTCGTTCACGTCGGGAGCTAGGTTGCGGATGTGGACCACGCGAGATGGGGGCGCCGCCTCCCTCTTCACCTGAAACGGGTCAACGAGAGACGAACAATGGCAAATTAAACTTAGTCTGACAAAAGGATGTAATAATAATTATAATGATGTGCTATAGCGCTTTACCACTGGTCTCAAAGCACTTTACAATTATTACCCCTGTTCATTAGGTCATGAGACCAGTTTTTGCAGCAGTTCGAGATCAGCGCATTCTAGTCTCTACCTTCACAGGTACCCATTTATACACCTGGGTGGAGAGAGGCAATTGTAGTAAAGTGTCTTGCCCAAGACCACAAGCACCATGTTCCCCGTCAGGGTTTGAACCCACTTACCACGGCACATCGAGTTGAACACCACAGCCACTGGACCACAGCGCTCCACGAAGGAGATTTCTAAACCTCTGGGCCAAATCATACCTCACTTGAATGCAAATTCAGAGTGAATGTGACGTCGCAAAACCTTTGCGGTGCAATATTTCTGCCAAGTATGAACGAAAGCCACAGGCTTGCAGAAACATTGACAACATTTTTGGATAGCACCATAAATATACATGTACAAGTACGTACTATATTTTTATATTTTGCAAACTGTGTGAAGTTCTCAAATAGAATAGTTTCAAGTGAAAGACTTCCAAAGAATTTTTAAAAATGACTCTAAAGACCAAATCATACCAGGGAAGGGGCAAATACTAATTTCATGTATAAATTTACGTGTATCGTGTTTGTTATGTAAAACACAATGTCTGTGAAGCAGCTCATATTGCCAAAACATGCATTTATACTTAACATGTAAACGGTTTTCTTATTGGCTCATGAACGAGACACAACAAATTTTCCTATTGGCTGAATGAAGACACGCAGCCGAATTAAAACCTTTTTCTCCTTGCACACAATATAAAGATTAATTTTCTGGCCTGCGAAGGGATGGAATGCCAAAGTTTTTTTCCCAAAACACGAAAAAGCAAGAATTCTGGCTATAGCCTAAAAACTGGCACCCTTGATTAAAAAGAACGCACCATAAAACAAAACAAACAACAACAACAAACCCCAACAAAAACAAAATTCCAGACTGAAAAATATTTGAAGTACTTTGAAGGTCCAATCATTGCAATCAAAATACCAACTACAGTATATCAAAATGATTTTTCACTATCCAATATGTACAAATACAAATAACAGGCTTGTCTTTTTTGTGTAAAACTCAACACAAACATTGTACAGCCATCAATAAAGAAATGGTCCTAGAAAGAAAGAAAACTAGAGCTCAATGTCTGTTTGCAACAGAACATAGGGCTTTTCCGCATTATGATTTTTTTTAATCAATAATATGCCCTGAATATTCATGAACATAAAATCTGTCAAAAGAATTTTGCATTTTGCATGTTGCGTTCGGGAGATATGGCTAAAAGGTCCAAACAAATAAATATTCATATAAAATCTCAGGATGACGACATCATGACGTCACCTCATTTTTAATCTATAACACATCCTGGTATAGCCACATACCAAGTTTCAACCCAATCGGACTTACATTTCTGTAGATATAAGACTTCACAATATGTACGTAAATTTTCAAAAATCAATAAAAAAATTAGGTGATGACGTCAGAAGGCATAATTTTTGTATGAGGGTCTTCCTTGGCTGTAACTTTGATGACGATTCCAGATCGCCAAGTTATAAAAATGGTGGCTTGAAAACGTGTACACATAAAAGTCAATGGGTTAAAAATCCAACAGCAGAAAAACTGCACCTTTAAATACGTGATTTGCCTTTAAACTGAAACTTTTTTATCAAATATTACTTGATATTCTGACTCTTGGGAATATTTTCAATCAAATGACAGGCGAAAAAAAATACGATTTCTTTTTCCTTCTCATAGTAATTCTCAGCCGAAGTTCAGAACTACTCAGTAAGATATATCAGTGTTGTATAGGGAAAGACTTGTGGAGAAAGCTGTGTACAAAGTCTATGAGAAAAATTAATTATTCATGAATCCATAATAAATCATTTGATGATGACGTCATCATGATGTCTTAGTCTTGGCATAATTTTTGTATGAGGGTCTTTCTTGGCTGTAACTTTGATGACGATTCCAGATCGCCAAGTTATGAAAATGGTGGCTTGAAAACGTTAATAGGTTAAAAATCCCACAGCAGAAAAACTGCACCTTTAAATTAGTGATTTTCCTTTAAACTGAAACATTCTTATAAAATATTACTTGCTATTCTAACTCTTGGGAATATTGTCAATCAAATGACAGGCGTAAAAAAATACGATTTCTTTTTCCTTCTCATAGTAATTCTCAGCCGAAGTTCAGAAAATCTGTCAAAGTTAGCCGAAAATCGGCTAAAACGGTCACTGTGGACAGGATTTGACCTCAGCAACACGTGCGCTGCAGGCTGACTGACATACGATGTATGTGCCTATGTACAACGTACGTGCATGTACATGTACATGTACATTGTGGACGTCCTGTCCTGTGCATCTTTTGAAGCAGAGGTATTGTCAACGTGAAGTTTTAGGCGTGCGCAGGGTATGTTCGAGTTCGCTTATCGCCTCGAAACTTTGAAATGTTTTAGACCTACCCTTCAATCGACAATTAAAGTAAAAACAAATATAAAAACTGCCATGGTTGATTTTTCAGGAATTTTCAAATGAAAAAGGGTCTTTTTATTATAACTTCTGGTCTGATGACGTCATTTGCCTAAAACTTCCCACACGTCTTAAGTGGGTCAAGGTTATTATATACACCAATATTTAGGCGATTCCGACAAACTTCGCCACAGACATCTATTGAAAATACATTTTTGCTAATTTTCAACCTGTCGGTAGAGGGCGCTCGAAGATTGCATGACGTCATCGGTAGATGATTTGAAGAATTCTATCGGCCAAGAGACTAACACTGTTAAAAGCAAGTTCATATCTATTACCACTTTCAAATAATAAGCCACTTCCGGTTTGGGCCTTTTTCGACCGGAAGCAAGGGTCACGCTATTGCACGCACACTGAATGAAATGAAGACCTTAACCTGCTCTACCACTTGCCGGCAACAGAATGCTGCGGACGCGTACGGTTGATTTCTTATGCATTTTTAAATATTAAAAGTGTCACAATTTAATTGCCTATAAATAAACACAGGATGACGTCATCATGACGTCATCATTCCACACTGTTTTTTGAATTAGGGTCTTTGCTTGGACAAAGATTGGTGTTAATGAATTACTGGCAAAGAGTCAAAAATGCCCTTTGAAAATCGACAATTATTTTTTTAATTTCTGTGTACAAAGTCTATGGGAAAAATTAAATATTCAAAAATCTATAATAAATTAGTCGATGACGTCACCATGACGTCAATCTTCGGGACACATCTTTGCTATAGGGGCTATGCTTATGCTAACTTTGAATGATGTATGACAAACATTAATGCCAAAAGTGGCGTGTAGAATAAACGTGTACAAAGTCTATGGGGTTTTGGGAAAAAAAGAAGAAGAGGAAGAAGAAGAAGAAGAAGAAGAAGAAGAAGAAGAAGAAGAAGAAAGAAAAAAAATCAGAACAAAAAGAAAGACTTTTCCGCAACAATGCGGAAAAGCCAAAAATTGAAGGCTGGCCTTGCAAATGACAATGCACTGTACAGAGTATTTGTCATCATCTAATTACACTGTACAGAGTAAGTAATGTCTCATAATGAGCGTCCATTGTCCTTCCTTCATCTAGGAACAAACCGACCGTGCAAATTTGTTTGTTAATTGGTTGTTCTTAAGAAGGCAATATACACGTAATTCACGACAAAGTAATAATTCCGTAATGCTGTGGCAATAATGCCTGATTGTTTTCTGTAAGGAGTCCTAAATGGTGTGGGGGGGGGGCATCAACCACAAAAATTCACGTAAAATTTCAAGTACATGTGCAGGGTGAGTTAAAAAAAAACCGCGGAACCCAAACCCAAAGAAATATATTTAATATTTAAAAATATAGTAGCACCAAAAATAATCATGACTGGTAAGCAGATTTAATAAACTACTTTTAGATGACAAAATTACTTCAATTGCTCAATTAATCCGTTGAAATTACAAATATCACATTTTAAACATTTGAAATGACCCTAATCTGTTTTGTCCAAAAATGCAATTTCAAGAATTGTTGTTACAATCTTCAAACATCAACAGCGATAAAACCTCAGTTTACCAGTTAAAAAGTATTAAACAAAGTCCTTTTGAAGGCCCGTCTTTTAAGAAAAGTGGATTTCATACATTTGTAAATCCTATTGTTAGCCAAAGCAGGGTTGTTTAGATATTGTGTACTACAGTTGTTAAAACAAGTATTCTGTGTCATTTTCTTTGTTGTTCCAAATTATCAGAACACACAATAAATTGCTTTTTTGGACGAAACTGTTTGTCGGGTTACTTCGTTTAAATAGTGATAGCAGTTTAACGTGTAGAGCAATTGAAATAATTGTCTCACTTAAAAGCAGTTTAATAAATGGGCTTCCAAGTCATAATCAATTTTGGTGCCACACATTTTTTTTTAATAGGAAATATATTTCTTTGTTTTTGGGTCCCGCTTTTTTTGGACTCGCCCTGTACACGAAGCATTTCCATATGTGCACTTAATTGGAGCCGTTATTAGCAGGCAGTGTGTGAATGTTACAAAAAGAGCTCCAGCCTTGAGTTTATATTTATATGCAAAACAGCAACAGGTGGTTATTGGGGATGGAAAAAAAAAAGCAAGGCAATAGATGATTAGTGTTGAGTACTGGAAAGTACATGGCCCACTGGTGAATCCTATTATTACTTGTGCAAAAAAACTGGTCTGTGCACATGTAGCATAAATTGAAAAGGTAGACTGCCTATTGAAATGTATACCCAAAATTGATGATTAGTTTCATTCTTTTTTTCTGAATATTTTATGGTTTTTCATTTTGCTCGGCAGTGTGCTTTGTGTCAATCTTTTCCACTTGTTTGATACATGCACCAGTGACTGCAAAATTAGATTAAATGTCTGAACAAAACTAAATTTGACTGATTTGAAAAA